AAATTTTATTCATGAAATAATTCTTAATTTCATTGATATAATAATTAAGTTTTTACGTATTAAACAGCTATACTTTGATATGGAAACAAAAATTAAAAATACATCAGTTTAAAATGTAAAGAATATAATGTTACATGAATTGTACTAAGTTAAAACGAAATTATAAAAAAGTTTTCAAGATTTTAATTAGTTCTTTTTTTGATGCACACAAAAATATTCCATAACGCTTTTTTCTTCAATTTTTAGGGAACTTGTGTTTGCAACATACTTAAGTATGTTATAGTATTAAGAAATTATAAAAAAATTTTACATACAAATGTGATGTTTTATCAGTATGGTATGTGTAAGAAATTGTACAATTCGGTGATGAAGTATATTATTGTATGAAATGAATAGTGCCAAAAAGCTCGAGCAGAAAGATATATTAGGTATTGGAAAAAATTCCTTAGCTTCAAACATTTTTAAAGTGGAAAAATTCGACATGCTTCCGAGTGTTCGACAACAGCCACACATTGCCAATTCAATACCACATACCTTGCCGTCGCGTACTTGGCTACATTGGGCAATTAGGTAAGTATTATAATTTAAATTAAAAGAACATTACCTATATGTTCGGCGTAAAGAATTTGATAAATCGTTTATTTCCGCATATTGGAAATAAGTCTAACTTTGATAATACCAAAATTTTTTTCGCTCCTGTCACATCAGCTCATCTTGACTCTCTGGAATCTTGCTTCATCCAGAGCGTCTATTCCCTAGATAAGAACATGAGTTCCTATCCTTTCATACTGTTAGGAAATGCATTCCACCATGATTTTTCCCTTTACACCACAATTTTCCAGTTTTTTACAATTTTATTTTATTTTTTAGTTTCTTGTTAACAAATTAGCATTTTGTTCTTTCAAATCTGGTTTGTTTCCTTCTTTCACATCCAATGAATCTTGAGAACGACTGCCTGTTTTTGAGCTCTCGAAACATATTATATTTTCCACATTATTGAGTTTCAAAGCAAATGAAGCATTTCCATATTCAAACATCCTAGTTAGTTGAATCTAAGTAGTTAATTCATCTAACTTGTTAATAACTATCAATTACACGTAATTTATAATTTTTCTGAAACAAAATTAATATCTTACCTGTTTGCGTTGCATACCGTGACAGCAGGAAATTTAAGAACAGGAGATTGTTCGAAACTAACTTCCATACTGGTGGGGTATTTGTAAAAGGAGTCTAAGAACATGTATGTTTGATGCGCGCAACCTATAATAAAAGCAAGAGAACCAATGGCAAACATAGGACTATACTGAAAGATCTTTTGGGACCAGTTTTTGTCCACTTTCTTATCGAAGCATTTGTCTCTTTTCTTTCCTTTTCTGGAACCAGAACTCCAAACTTTCGTTTTTGTCATTAGGAAAACTTGATTTTGAAACTTATAAGAATGAAAAAACGTAAACGCACTTTCAAACTTTCGTTTATTTTAACTTGAGTTAAATTTTTCTTACTTTATATTTGATACTTTTAAGTTACGTTACATTTGATACTTTTAAGTTACGTTATATTTGATACTTTTGACTAAATATATTGGTAGAAACCTGATATCTGATCTCGTTTGCGAAATAGACAAATGCAGTAACAATATCAGTACGTAAAATATTTCTTAACAGTGCTATGCAAAAACATTTCCTTTTCTGTCTCATAGAAGAAAGTAACAATTGTATCATCAAATGTTTGTCTGATACATAAAATGTTTCCCAACGGCGATATAAAATGACATTTCCTCTCTTGTCTCCTGGGCGAAAATAACTGTATTATCAAATGTTTATTAATTAATACATAAAATGCTTTACAATGGCGCTGTGCAATGGTAATTTTTCTTATGTTTCATAAGCAAAAGCAATTATAGTATCATGAAATGTTTATCAATCTCTCAAAAAATATTTCACAACGGGTGTTATGCAATGACATTTCCTCTCCTGTCTCATGAGAAGTAATTCTACCAGACACGTACTGATAAATCAAATGTTTAACAAAGGTGCTATTGTATAGTATTTTCCTCCTCTGCCTCATGAGTAGAAGCAACTATTGTATTCTCAAATGTTTATAAATTGATATACAAAATATTTCACAACGGTGTTATGCTGTAATATTTCCTTTCCTATATCAGTGAAAGTAATTGTAGTATCATTAAATGTTTATGAAACGAAACATAAAATGTTTCCCAACTGAGCTATGCAGTGACATTTTCTCTCTTGTCCCGTGAGCGATAGTAACTATAGTATCATCAAATGCTTATCAACCGATACATAAAATGTCTCATAATGACTCTCCGCAATGAAATTTTCTCTCTTATTTCATGAACGAAAGTAGCTATAGTATCAAGTATCATCAAATGCTTAGTAGCCTATACATAAAATGTCTCATAATGACGCTCCGCAATGAAATTTTCTCTCTTATTTCATGAACGAAAGTAGCTATAGTATCAAGTATTATCAAATGCTTATTAACCGATACATAAAATGTCTCATAATGACGCTCCGCAATGAAATTTTCTCTCTTATTTCATGAACGAAAGTAGCTATAGTATCAAGTATCATCAAATGCTTATTAACCGATACATAAAATGTTTCATAATGACCCTCTGAAATGATATTTTCTCTCCTATTTCATGAACGAAAGCAGCTATAGTATCAAGTATCATCAAATGCTTATTTACCGATGCGTAAAATGTTTCATAATGACCCTCTGCAATGATATTTTCTCTCCTATTTCATGAACGAGAGTAACTATAGTATCATCAAATGCTTATCAACCGATACATAAAATGTTTCATGATGACGCTCTGCAATGACATTTTCTCTCCTATTTCATGAACGAAAGTAGCTAGTATCAAGTATCATCAAATGCTTATTTACCGATGCGTAAAATGTTTCATAATGACGCTCTGCAATGACGTTTTCTCTCCTATTTCATGAACGAAAATAGCCTTAGTATCATCAAATGCTTATCAACCGATACATAAAATGTTTCATAATGGTGCTATGCAATGACAGTTCCTTTCCTTGAGCGGAAGTAACTATACCATCCTCAAGTGCTTATCAACTGATACATAAAATATTTCATAATAATTCGATGCAATGACATTTCATCTCCTATTTCATGAACGAAAGTAATTATAATGTCATCAAATGTTTATCAATACATAAAATGTTTTGCAACTCTGCTATGATAGCCATTTCTTTCTCTTTAGCATTTAGTCTAAGAATAAAATAAATTACTTTCTGGAATATAAAAACATTTAAGAGCATTTGTCATTAAATATGCATGATACTTTTAGTTTGAAACCGCATTTATAAGCTCATTAATATAACAGGAAAGCCCACGAGTGTCAATTTAGATATGTAATTTCTCTGTTTGGTCAGTGAAAGTATAACTTTTAGCTTATTGATTTTTTGTCGGCATTGTAGAATCTGCCAATAATTTTTCGTCATTTTCTTATACAATCAAAGCAGAAAATGATATCTGGTTCGTAAATGTATTCAAGAGGTATCTCTTAAGTCATATTCACATTTAATTATTTTGAGTTTTAAATAAATAACATTGCATGAAAATGTTTGTGATATCTTTTATTTGAATTTGGGAATACTTATATATTCTTTTGAAAGTTATTGGTCTGTACCTATTTCCTTTGAACATCTTGCTAGTAACGTTACTATTCATATAAGTTATTATTATTTAGAAATGAACTTAAAGTTATGAATATTCTTCGTTGATTCCAATAAAAATTGTTTTCTATAGTTATATAGGGAGAAATAATTGGTATGAGTGTGTCATTTTGGGAGGTCAACAAAATGGCATGTTTATTTAGAATAAAGCAATCCTAAAATTAAAGAAGGAAATACAAAAAGTTTGATTACAAAGCAGTCAGTTATTTACTGCTCTTAATATATAATTATAGTATCTTGTCAAAAACGAAAATAAAAGTAGTATGTTCATTACCATTATATAAATATTTAAGTTGCAAATTAATATTTAAGCTTGGAATAAGTAGCTATGACGAATCAATATTGATTATGGTGAGATTAAGTATGTAAAAATCCCTCCGATTGCATGAGGAAATAGAGGAAAATTCATAACTGGAAATCAAACTGTTTTTTTTTTAACACAAGCCATATTTAATAGCATTAGTAATTAATTTTCGTAATTCATTTTTCTCTTTTGAATATTAATATTCGAACTCCAATGTGTATGCTTTTCTTAACTTTATTTTTGACAAGGATTCTAAAAGCATATATTAAAGATTGTGATAACAGAGCACCTTACTTAATCCCAAGGACTCTCTTAAAGTTGAATTGATTAAAGTCAATATAAATTTCAATTGGATTTCATGAAAAACCTCATAGAAACCGACAGATATCTTTAGAGCTTAGATACAGGGAAAATTTTTACGAGAGTATTTGACATTCAGTGTTTATAACTAAAAGTTTCAGTTATGTGAAGCGTTTTGAACAAACAGATGATCAATTAAATCTATTTAGGTACAAATAGAATTATGCTCTTCCTCTGGGCTGAAAATAGAAAACGAGGCAAGCAGAATTTTTTGCGGAAAAACAGTATTTAATGGAAAAATAAAAATTGTAAAAAAATGATTAAAAAATAGTGAACATTTGTATTAAAAGTTGTAATTCTATCTAGTAATACCCATTTTATTTTATGTTAACTATTCAGAAAGTTTTCGGTTTTCAGATTATGAAAGTCCTATTAATAAAACACAAATCAAAAATGAATTAAATATTGGTACTCTTAGAGTCATTATCTAGATTTTTTGCCATCACATGGAGTGGTTAGCATTGTTGCAGCATAATGATCTAGAAAAAAATATTAATTTTTCACAAAAATGTTCATAAATTATAAAATACGAATCTAGTAAATGAAATAAAATCTCTGGAAAATGATGCTAGATTATCTTTCTTTAAAACTGATTCCAAAGTAAACAAAAATTGTTCATTGTTTTCATTAAAGTTTTATTTCACAAACTTTGATAATCTCATTAAAGGATTACAGTTTGCAAACGTGAACGCTGAATATCACTAGGAATAAGGACACTGGCAAAATGGACATCTCTCACCAGGTACTAGGAAGCATGGACTTCGGCAACGACGAGGAGGTGGACAGTAAAATTTTGCTGAAAGAATGAAACATCAGTCTTTGAATGATTTAAATATGAAATATTCCTAAATACAAATATAAATATTGAATTAAAGAAGTGTGGTAAGAAATTGAAGGACGAAAAAGAGCGGCCTTATTAAAAAGATTCTTAATTCTTCTTGAATTTGAAATAATGACAGAAAAAGGGATTTCACCAAATATATGTAATTTCGAAGAATAATAAATGCGATAAATATTTTTTTTTTCTTAAAACAATTCAATTGATTAAACTTTATTAACTTTTTTCAGTTATTTTTAATTATTGCATAAGAAATGAAAATTTTTAATTTGTATCATTGTTTTGCATATTGTATGATATTTTTTTTCAACTTTTCTTTATTATTTACTAAGCCTTTTATTTGTTCTTGTCATGGAACGCTAATTTGAATCTCTTATAACTCCAGAACCAGTGTCGACAGAGTTCTGAAATTCAAAAATTGACTACGAGGAGCAATTTTAGCACCCGATCCGAAATGTTTTTCCAAATCTTAACTATTCCATTCAGGAGAAATGTTTGAAGAATGATTTTTTCGCATTAGTTTAACATTAGCCATTGTTATAAATAAAAATGCAAACGATTCTGTTTAAAAGTTTATCGCGTTCTTTTAAGTACCGAATGTAACATTGAAGAAAATGAACCATAAATGTAATGATCAGAATCAGAAATGTAATGACTATTTTTAATAAGTTATTTGAAACTATGTGTTTACTTTGTTTATATTGTGCTTTTAAAACGTGTTTCTGATATGAATAAGGTGCAAATTTCTTCAAAGACTTAATGAATTTTAAGGCAAAAAAGTAAGAAATAAAACTATTTCAAAAGTTTTATAAAAAGACAACTATTCTATGGGTCTGCATTAAAAAGTAATAAATAAAATATTGCTGTAAGTTAAAAAAAATCAAGTTTATGTAGTCTCTGTTAATTTCCCAGGTACTGCGTTTATTTTATATAAAGTCTACTCTAAAATGTGCTGCAAGAATTTCTTCTCTATCCCCTCGCTCCATTGAGAATCAAATAATAAGTACTATCGTAATAAGATTTATTCTGGAGAACTAGATAACTAATAAATAACAAGATTTAATCTGGGAAAAATAATTTGATTTATTCTGGAGAAATTGCGTTATTGTGTCTGACTTTATTTTATTTGTATTGTGTTAAGAATATGACTAATTTCGGAGAGCATGCTGATCTATAAAATCGTTCAAATATGTTGCAGACTTAATACAGTGCTAAATTGAATCATATAATTGTACCTCCGGAACTTGGTTGCAGGATAGTATGAGTTATTTAGAACGTAAACTTGGCACAATTCAGCACTTTATTAAGGGTACAGCAAATTGGTACCATATTCTGATTCAACATTGATTAGATTTTTCAGCTACGCACATATATACGCAGTATACGCACAGTTATTACTTACATGAAATTCACTTGTTGTTTTCATCAAATGAGAAGAATAACTCTCCGTAAAATATTCTATTATTTTAAATTGTAACCCAAAAATTTAAAATATTTTTAGTATGGGGTAAAAAAAGATTTTTAAATTTTTAAAAAATTTCACTGTCAAGTATTTTTACCTGGAGGTGGTGGAGCAGGAGGACACTCACAACCAGGACAAGGTCCAGAAAAATCTCGTTCTACTACACAGCCTGGTGGACACTTTGGAGGAGAACATAGAACTGGTGGAGGGTAAGCTAGAAAAAAAAATTCAATTATTCTAAAAAAAGTTTGTTCAAACTGTGTAAATCACGAAAACTCAAGCTTTTAACCGAATGTCGTCAACATTTAATCAAAGAAAGAATTTGTAAAACCTATACTTTATATGTAAATGAAGACAATCCTATATGAGGAATGGAAGTGTTTATAAAAAAAAAGAAAAGTATAATAGGACAACATAATATTCTCAAAAGCTGGTTGAAGAAAGTGCCCTCATTCTAAAAAGTAAACGGGAGATCTCCTAACAGAATTTTAATTCTGACATCCGATAAATTTTGTGATTTAATTAATTCATGTACGTCTTTGTAAATATTTTGTCTACGCATACCCTTTCCTCACAGTTACTAGGTAATCACGTATTTCCTCACTTTTTAAAATGACAATTTCCTTCTCTTCAGACTACAGTATCTAACACAAAAGAAGTTATATTGCCTTAAAGATTTGGCATGAACAGAGATCTAATTCCAGACTCCCTTTCTATAATGTCGAAAGTCTCATAAAGAACATCTTCAGGGCCTCTTTTCATGAGGAACTCAAATATCGTAATTCCAATAAACCACGGCTTATACAGATTCTCAATGTTCCTCAGTGGCATAGGATGAAATCTGTCACCATGTTTCGTCGTTGCCACGTTTCTTCTGATAACTGGCCACGGTTGTCAGAAAAAACATCTATGTCGCATCAACGTGGTTCATGATCCCTTTTGTACATTGTGTGATCTCCACGAGGTAATGGACTTGCCTCACCTGTCTAGGTGCCTCGCTCTCCCTCGGAAATCTGTCTGGAAAAGCTACTGGATTGCTTCCTCTTATTTATAGATTTATAGTTAGCTTTTTGATGTTCAATTGTCTTTTAATGCGCCATTGGAAATTAAAAAAAAATAATAAAATTAATAAAATTAAAAAAAAAAAAAAAGATTTGGCATGAAACCGTCTTGCAGAAGCATTTATTGCGAGCTGTAGAGATGACAATCGGCAGAGACAAGAGCATCTGAAATTTTTTCATCAAAACCAAGAAAAAATATTTAAAAAAAATATATTTGTTAAATAATCTGAGAATCAATTAAAACCGGTAATGGTAAAACAAGGAATATAGGAAAGGGTGCAAGAACACTAATTACAGAAGTATAAGTGCTCAAGAGGAATAAGTGCAAAGATAATAATTACAGAAGTACTTAAGAGGTGTAAGTGCAAGAACAATAAGTACACAAGTATTCAAAGGGCATAAGTACAAGGACAATATGTATTGAAGTATAACTACTGTAGAGGAATAAGCGCAAGGACAATAAGTATAGAAGTATAAGTACTTCAGAGGAATAAGTACAGAAATAAAATATATTTTAAAGACCTGGTGGCATGAAAGGCGGTGGAGGAGGGCAATCACACCCAGGACAAGGTCCAGAGAAAGTACGTTGTACGAAACATCCCGGAGGACATCTTGGAGGGGAGCAGAATTGTGGATATTGTGCAAAAACTTCACCTAAAAATGAAACAACATAAATGAATAATAATTCCGTGCAATAATCACTTATAGATACTTTTGTGTACCGTATAGTCATGAATGATAACAAATGGTGGATAAAAATTATTTTTTAACATTGCCGCGCTTTGGAAAATATTTTATAAATACAATCGATAAGTTTCGTTATTTGGATATATCTTAACAAGTTATAACATATAACAACATATAAAAGTGTTTTAGATAGAACTGCGCTAATACTTTGATATTTTTACTTGTGAATGAAACCTGTGTAAAAAATAAAAAGAGCTTGTGACTTAGAGTTGCATAAACAACACTCCAATGGTATTTATTTTATGTGTTATTACATATCAGAGTTAAGGAATTATTGCTCAGTTGTCTTGCATAATTTATTAATGAATTAAGAAAAAAAATTATTTGCATAGAAAGTACATTTACAATAGGATATTAGTTTAAATGAAGTCAAACATTTTGTAGTGAATAAATTAAGCATCTTATCAGTTTACATTAATATACTCCAGTATCAAAAAACTATATTCACGTTTTATGCAAAATATTTATTTATTTGATAAACAAATTGAGTTTCGTGGAATTACTCGTTACAAGCGTAAAAATTTTTTAATTATTTTTATTTTATTTTATTTATTTATTTATTTATTTGTAAAATTAAATATGAGCCATAAACCTGCGTAGCAAATAAATCCGGATCGATTTTTAGGAAAAGCAAAATATTGAAATATAGAGAACTCATGGACAGATTACACTTACCTGTTATTTAAACTAAAATACATTTATCCCATAAATGACTCAAATATAAGTCAAGCATCACATTTAGCACAATCAAATGGTCAATTCAAACGTTTGTGGACAAAATTTTTGTGAATTAAAATAAAAACTGAATTAAACAAGGTACTCGTAAATTTTGAAACTGATGATTCATAGAAATTTTGCAGCTTTAATAAGTTTTAACAAGAAATTTTTACTAGGTTCTTTTTTAAACAATATAGTTTAAGAAAAAAGAAATATAATCATTAAAGTTAATTTTTAAGAAATTATCTAAATTTTTGTTTTTAAAATACCATTTCTAAGAAAAAATTCATCCCATTTCGTTAAAATTTGATAGCTCCAAAGAAGAAAAATCGCTTTAATTAAAACTTTTTTCTATTTTTTTAATTAAAACGTCTTTTATTATTTTTTTGGATTAACATTAAATCGAGTATCCTTTATCTTTGTTTAATACAAGGGTAATACATAGATGTCCCTTTTGAGTTAACTATTTTATTTTCTACTTCATTGTAAAAATAGCGCATTTAAATCATCAGTTCCACAGTCTTCACTTTTGGTGAGATATTTTAGAGACAATCTGTATATAAAAATAATTTCCTAAGTTCATAAGCAAATTATACATATTCATTGATGTTTATCCTTTACAGATGAACTTGTAAATGCTTTTCGAAAATTTAACTTGCTTAGAATACATTTGTTAAGGATTGGCGAATGGTGATGAATAAGAGTAATAACTTAAAACTTAATTGAGTAGTACTGCCGATAATGATGCTCAAGACAATAATTTTTTTTTATTGAATTACCCATTCCCTGCTGTTTATAACTTAAAGCAAAGCTTGCATTTTTGAAATTTAGAACTTAACTAAAGTCTCATATAACTGTTATTTTAATTAAAGTCATTTCCATAGATAATTGATTATACAATATTTTCCAATAACACACATGACTATTAAAAAATGATTCCTAAACAAAATGCAATTTGAACGAACAAATGTTTATTTATAGATCCATTTTGACTAAGCAAAAACATCATAAATAAACAATTTTGCCGGCATTTATCATGCTTACAATGACTCACTTACTTGTTTGAAATGTTTTAACGTCGTGGTGAGCAATATCGTTTTAATCCAAACGTTAAAACATAATTAGTATTTGAAATACATCTCTGGCTTTTGTGGTTGGGTAAAATCTTCGGCTATCATTCTGAGAATTCGATAGGTCTGCTTAAAAAAATTGCTAGACATTAAAATTAACATTATTATGCGGTGAGGTATTTTTAAATACAAATGAAAGTGCTGTTGTGGCTCACAGAATGGCCTCCCAATGAGGTAACCCGAGTTCGAATCCCAGCGATGGCGAGTCGAAACTAATACCGCATCCGGCTCTCACCGATCACATCGCTGATGCAAAATTTTCTCAGTGGTAGACGGATCATGGGCTAGAGTCCCCTTAAAATCAGACTAACCGTGGGAGGTTTTCCTCTTCGTGTAACGCAAACGTGGGATAGTTGCACCAAAAAGATTTCCGCGAAGGCAAATATCTCCAAATACTTAATCCAGGAGTGTCCTTGTTTTCTGGATTGAGTTCAAAATTACAAGGCTACGGAGTTAAACATTAATAGTAGAAAACTAAAAAATTGTGTCGGCTGTTGAACGGCGGTTATAAAATAAAATATAAATAAAAGGTTTTATGCTTACAAGATCTGTCTAAAACCACCACTAAAACTGCAACAATAGTCAAATAGTTCATTCTGTCCATATGCTCAAAACTAATTTGAGTATCAAAAGTTTGAAGAAATCGTTCTTTATAAACCACGCAAAACATACTACAAGAACAATAATTAAAAAAACCTGTGTCGTTTTGTAATGTTTCGTGAAAATCAAGCCGTTACAAATACTTCAGACTATTCTGTAATGTTGGTATTTGGAATTCAGCGTCCGTCTGTGAAATAGGAGATCATGTTACTGAATAACTTTTCGAATCTGATTCGTTATGCTATAGCAATTTGAGATATTTAAAATGAATCAATAGGTCATTCTGTGTTTCATGGAAAATGGAGATTGTATAACTGAATAGGAAAGAAATATGCGATTGAATAATAACTGTGCTATTATTATGTCGATATTACGATAGTTATTTGTATTTATGTAATCGTTATGTAATTTATCAGTTCACAGGTGTCGCATGCGTCCAATTTTTGAGAGGGACGAAAAGCTGGACATAGTTACAAAAGTTCTCGACATTTCAATTAAGAAACAAAATTTAAATAAGAAACTAAATTCAAATAAGAAACAAAATTTTTACTCACAAAAAAGTCTTATACCTGCAAAAAGAAAAAAAACATTCTTTATCTCTTTCTGTCTTTACTTAGATAAATTTAAATAGAGGACACATATGATACAATCGAAGACTCCCCTTGTAATAGTAAATGGTGAGTGGTGCCCATTAAATTAGTCGGGTCACAAAGTCCTCAATGTTCTCAAAACAAATCATACCTCTGGGGGTACTAAATTGGAGATTGATCGTTCTCTGGTTCAGATCAAAATTACTATCTGTGGATGAATGAATGGAGATATAAATGGGTCCCCCCTATAAACGGGGTGTGACGTATGTGTGTGGCAGAAGTCGAATTCTTAGAATTAGCCACTGGAAAACAAGACGAAGCGCATTCCTTTGCCTTAATGGCATATAACAACAACTTATGATACAATTGATGATTCATAAACATTTTCTTTATTTGTCTGAATTATTGCTTTTAGTGATTTCTAATTATTGAGGGAGACTAGTCCCCACCAACCCCCCTACAAACAACGCCAATGTAACAGTTAATTTATTTTTCTTCATACAGAAAAATGCATCAAGAGGATGTGAAAAAATTTAAAAACTACTGGTAGGTTAGGGTAATGCTGATATAAAATATATTTATTTGAATATAGATATTTGAAGGGAAGCAGCACTGTAATTCTTTTAAAAAAGTTAATATTTCGATGGATTGCAAAACTAAACACATAGGAGAAAGGCAGGCAATTAGCTCTTCTCTTCTGATACAGTCACCACGTTATAAAGCTGTAACAGATGCTGAAAGTGTTGTCTTTGACTTTGAAGTTCATAGCTACACTTTTCGTTATTTTTAAAACCCATTTTATTGTTTATTCCCCCGCAAATTTAAGAAAATTTATATTGTTTTCAGTTCAATAATTATCGTAACAGGCGTTATAATTAATTTGTGTTTTGATCAGAATACGATTGTTTTTCAATTTATGTGTGTTCCGCGAAATTATGTGGGGAGGGGGGGGGGTAAATTTTAAGCTACGATTTTGGAAATTGCGTCAAATCAGCTTAATTTCATAAGGCCATTAAAATCATAAGTTAATTATGTTCTTAAAACAGTGGGCACAAGAAGAATTTCTGAAGATTGGTGCCTAACTTCTACAGGTTTCATCATATTTATTGAAAAGTTTAGTAACTTGAATAATATTACCTGACCGCCTATAACCTCTGATGTTTGTTCTAAAAATTGGATTTGAGCAAACTACTATCAATATTAATAATTTAAATGCCTGGTCTCAGATAAACAAATTAATTACCACCGATGCTATTTAGGAGTACTAAAACTAACTTCCTCTGAATAAAAACGTCCTTTTTCCGACGATTTGGAATTTTGAACATCAAAGTATAGGACGGAATAACCACAATCTGGAAAATATAGTCCCATTAGTTCACTTAGGAGAGTGAAAAGTTTGGTCCCTTTAATGTTAAATTTACTTTTTGCGTATTTCGTTACATTTTGAGAAGTTAAGTTAATCGAAAAACTTTTGATTATTAAATATTTTTTATGAAATTCGTTTATCCAAATTAAATAAGATTTTAAAGAATTATTTTTTATAATTATTTATCAATTTATTTAATAATTGTCGAAAAATTTTGAACTGTATGGAATACAAATTTTACACTATTTTAAGTTATATTATTTTAAATGTCAAACTCAAACCTTGAACAAAATCGGCCGAATAATTTTAGAGAAATGAAGGTTTAAAAAGGTTTTTTAGAAATTTTATTATCCAGTGAAAACTTGATCATTAGAGCAAAAGTTATTCAGGATAATATTTTTGCTCACCGAACTTACTCTCTTAGAGAGAATTGCTCTGAATTCTTGACTCTCATTCAAAGAAAATTAGTTCCGCTGCTCCGAACTGAATAATCTTGTTATACGAATACAAAAATCTCATTATGCATTTCATTTGAAATAATGCTTAAATATCAAAGTAACGAACAATACTTCTATTTTGGGGGTGTGGAACGTGTTACACACATGAAAGGGACTATTGAAAAGGAATGATTAAAAATTCTAACTGCATGAACATGAGGAATGTTTTCAAAAAATATTTTTTGGTGTGTATATTGTTTATGTTTTGCATGATAAAATAGGAATTTTTGTCTAAAATATTCCAATTAATTTCGAAAAAAAGCCAATAATAATTTGAAAAGTGAGGAGAATGCTGGGTCGCGATTCCTCAATACAGCGTTTAACGACCAGCTCTCCCGTTTGGTGGGGCCTCCCTGGCCGAGCGGTGCAAAGCGTGGAGGTAGCGGGTTCAAATCCCGCTGTTACCATGGATGCATCTTCGTACTGTCCTTCTTATTAAGCTATATATCCTTCTATTTTACAAAGGTTTATAAGCCTAAATTGAGCACACAAGCCTGCAAATGTATGTGATTCCAACAAACCAATAATATACCTGTTTGGCATCTTAAATAAACATTTAAAGAAAAAAAAACTTAATTCTTGATTTTTTCTTTTCGTTTTTAGTTTGGGTAACAAATTTCAAAAGAAATAAAAGATTGCAATATAATTGAGACTAACTACAACCAAGAGAAAAATCTTCAAAAATGAGAGCAAGTCGTTAAAAGTCGTTGGATTGTAAATTAGCTACCGCGTCGGTATCGCGATGGTATGTTCTTAGGTTTCACAAGTTTTTTAATACAATTAAAAAAGCAACTAAGGTTTAGAAAACCTTCATTGACTGTCAGGTAACGCACAATAAGTAAAATATTTTAAAGCTTATTACTTTGCCCCTGATACTGCGTTTTCGTTTTCCACATCAAGATATAGGCTGAATGGTTTGATCGTAGCAAGCTTAAACGTACCTTGTCGTCATTTCATTTATGCAAAGTGCTTTTTCATAAGCACGAGAAAAATTAATTATTAATATTTTAAATTATTAATACTTTATTTATTTTTAAATGTTGTGTGTTTATTATTTACAATATTTTTTTCTTTAAAATTCCGCCAATACAACTTTTGTTTTTTGTGGAATACATTAGGTCCATAAATAAAGAGTAAGAGACTTTTGATACAGTTTATTCAATGGTATTAAAAGTATCACCTGTAATTTTCTAAGTTTTAATCCGATTGTCCATAATGCCATACTCGTTAAACAGTTCAAACAGCATAGGTAACTGCTTGAACCATTTGCGCACTTCAACCTTGAATATGCCGTTTGTTTGAAACCATTGTCCTTGCAATTGCTGGTTTGAGTTCATCGAAGATGTAGAAGACACTTGGTGACAGATTTGGACTGAATGGTGTTAAGTTCGACACTCCCCATTTGAATTTTTGCAGAATTTTCTTTATTGTCTTGGCCTCGTCTTTAGGAGCGTTGTTGTGAAATAGAATGATTCCATGATAAAAATGATCGGGATATTCTAATTTCCTTGCCTTTTAAGCTTTGTTCTGATTTCCAAATATCAGCGATCCATAGTTCCTGCTTCTGGACTTCCAGGAGGTTCGCTCTTCTTCGTTTCTTCCATTATTTATTATTTACAGAAACGAATGAATGGACTGACAGCTACTTGGTTATAATCCATTTATCACTGCTTGAATTATGCTACCAATAGGGAGTGCATCCTTTTCGGCACACCAGCTACTACATCTTAGATTTGCATCCATTTTTGAAATAACATAATTTTAGTTTAATGTCCTCTTCCCAAGGTCTGATTATCACCTAGGCCAAATAGGCATGGGCCTAGGGTCCACAAATCCTGAGGGGTCTCAAAAATTAGTAAAGGTTGGCTAGCTTTGTGTTGGTTTAAGTACTAAATAAAACTGTTACAGCTTACAATAAAAAATAATTCAGTTAATCAGTTACTATTTTAGTAAAAATCGCTGATTTCAAATGTTTGTGGTCACCTAACTATTTTTATTTTGAAATATCATTGTTTTGTTGTTTTATATTTTGCTTTAATTTATAGATACATAAACTTTAAATTAGAAAAATAATCTTCAATTGTCTGCTTTCAAAATTTCTTAGAATGGTTCTCTTGAATAATGCAGTTCAATAGATTCTTTTTTATTTTTTGGACTACTTAAGGTAATTCAATTTAAAAAATGTCTTGTAAGGGGCCCGGAAAATTTGGTGGGCCTTGGGCCTGAATTTGTCTTGATCGATCCCTGCCTCGTTATTAATTGACCATACGAAATATATTTAATAAAATGTAATGGTTATGGTTTATTATGTGTTATGTAGTATTAACTTACTACTTATTGTTTAAGTTCGATATTTCACTTTTTAGTGCTAAATATTAATTATATTTTATTTTTAAATTCAGAAAAACTATTTTCTAAGTATTGTTCTCATCAAGTCTTTCAAGAACTTCTAATCAATATGAATTTCAGATTTCTGTTTATAGTTTATAAAAATTCCTCCGCATTGTTTTATTTTTTTTTCTTGCTTTTATTTTTTGAAAATAATTTTCTTTTCAAGTTGTTTTCCATAAAATCCATAAATTTCTTCTCGGATGACATGAGACTTTTGAATGTCTTCCAAACGTGAAGCCCCTGAAAAAAAAACAATTTGAACTTCATATTTATTAGTAAAGCATGCTAATTATCAATCACATAAAACTAATATTGAAGAACATCGATTAACTTTTTAATTTGAAACTTAGCGTAGATTTTGCAGAAGCTTAAAATTTTATTTGACGTAAGAAATGTGTACCTTACCTGCTAAAGCCATTGTTGTATCCAATTGTTTTTTGATCATTTGAAAAATATTCAAGACACCATCTTGTCCCTAAAAAAAATAAAAAATGAATATAATTTACGTTTGAATATTGAAACAACGTCAAATCCCTCCTTTACAAAATCGTTATATACAATTAAGAAAACAATGCATTATCAACAGAAACAAAATACATTAAGTTTTTATCAAGGAAACTGCCACGCTTTTAAAAGCATTATTTTTTGGCATCGAAATCAAATTTTTAAGTTGCCGTAAAGAACGTTTTTGGTGAAAAAGACCTTATTTTCCATGTTAAAAATAAATATTTTTATTTATTTCCGCTGACATTTAATCGGAATTCAAAAAACTTGAAAAGTATTAACAAACATGTTAGAGTAAAAATGGCATATGTTGGTATAAGTGTTATTTATCAATATTGTTCCACACCCTTCATTTGTATTACATATTGTTTGGTTCAGAAACATGTCGGGGAGCTGAACATACCCTATTTTGCACAAAGTATTAGGACTACCACCTAAGGATCTAGTCAGAACAGCGCATGTTGTGGGTTGTTTTTAATAATTTGGTATGGGTGTGCCATAGTTCTTGTGTTCGGAAACATGAACTCTAAGATGTATGTGAAGATTCTAGACCAAAGATGGGCAAACTTTTTTGGTCGAGGGCAAAAAAACGAAGAAAAGAAGTTTGGCGGGCCAAGTAAAGACTTCTAAAATCGAAAAACGATATACAAGTTTTCATTTAAATATTTAATGTGATGAATGAAATTGCGATTTCATTTATAAAAGTTCTTTATATTGCCGTTCCAAGTTAGATGTACTTATTTTAATGATCAAGGCTAAACGTTTGTCTGTTAGTCTACTTCTGAAATGATTTTTTCAAAGGTTTATAGATGAAAACACTTGTTCACATATATAAAATGAAGCAAACATAGCACTGATTTTCTTGGCATGAAATATTAAATTTGGGAAACTAGCTTTTAGTAATGGTTTGTAAAACTCTAACTTTGGCATATTTAGAAACAACTGCTTCAGATGGCGCCAATCTACGGTTATTCTATAAAGAACTTTTGCTTTCAACATTTTACCAATTGAAGCTGCCTATTTCTATCAATTTATGTTTTGTAGAAGAAAAATAGAGAAAGTAAAAAGGTCATCAATAATTTGCTAAAAAGAAAGAACAAAAATAGCTTTAAACAAAGTAGACAAAAAAATTGATGTATATAGTTTATATTCGTCACGGATCGGCAAGTTAAAATTCTATCCTCGGGCCGGATAAAACCTTCCGGCGGGCCAGAGTTGGCCCTCGGGTAGTAGTTTGCTCATCCCTGTTCTAAACAATGCTGATTTCTAAACTCCTTAATTTTTCGGGTAAGGCCCATTTCTTTTCCAATGAAGAAAACTGATCCAGTTACATATATCGAGACTTGCACAGCCGTGGTTTGATGAAATGGATGTTCAAAAACTAGACTGGTAGTTCTCAGAGACTCAATTTATATCCCAAAGAACGCTTTTGGAATGAATCTGTAACCAGAAATAATTAAACACAGGTAAATATAGTTATAAAATTTTACTCACGCTATGTACTAGACCCCAAATAATCGGTCTACCAAAGAAGACGGCTTTTGCACCTAAGGCCAGAGCTTTAAAAACGTCCCCACCAGAGCGAATGCCTCCATCTAAATAAATCTCCGCCCTACCCTGTACTGCATCCACTACTTCAGGCAAAACATCTAGCTAGAGAAAAAAAAAATATTCAATTTTAAATAATAACAAACAACGGTTAACTTTGAGCTATTTTGCCTCCATTCATTTGATTATTCCTTATCGAGTTTATTTGTTGTCATAAACACAGAATTTACAAATTCGGTTATTTATAAGTGCAGAAGTTAAAGTTTATGGCAAATTCTTTACAGTTGGTAAAATTTTGAAAATCCCACCGACAATATCGCAAAAAATGTTCTTAGAATAAATTAATTTTAAATAATAAGTTGAAGGATTTTTTTTATAAATCAATCTCAATCCCCAAAATAATTTAACATATCCTTTCTGAAAAAAAATGGCCCTGCAAAATGTTAAAAATAACTCAAATCAAACGAAATAAATGGATTAACTTAAACACATTTGAGAAATTCAGCTCATCTATTTTGTATTTCGCGCCTTCACAAAAGTATTGTTCAGATCAGTCACAACATAGTAATGTTGGATTTCGTCAGAACTTGGGCAAACGTACCTGCGTGAATGTGCAGAATGCCAGAAGTGCTAAATCTCTCAAATATAGTCAAGTTCCTGAATGCGCATAAAACTAAATTTGTAAGATCATTTAGAAATATCTATAGCGATCACAAATATCCTTTTCCGCTTATATCTTTTTTCTTTCTTCTCTCCTGGGAAATTTAGATATGGAATTTTTTTTACTACATTGGGAATTATTTTCATTCCTAGTAGTAATTTTTTTTTCAGGGAGGTGATATGTGATTGGTGAATGTTTCATTAACTTACAGTTGCAGGTACACCGTCTAGCTGTCGTCCACCATGATTAGAAACGAGAATCCCTGAAGCTCCATTCTCTACAGCCAGAGCAGCATCTTCACCTGTCATAAAACATTCAGAAAAACAAATGTTTAAGTTTACAAATGTAGAGAGAGAAACTCAATGTTTGAAGATATATCTATCCTTATGAGCAACTATAATATCTACCTCTTTTTCCGTAAGAAAACACACAGTTCCATGATTCGGTAACTAAATGGTTTTGTTTGTTCTTTAAAAATCGTCTTAAAAAATCTTCTAAAAATTTTTTTTGTTTGTTCTTAACAGTCATTACTCACTCCACTGATAAAAGCCGGTGTCGTAAGTTCGATTCTGAAATCCGAAAAATCGTGCTAGTTTGCTCAGCAAGGTGCAATTAAATCTGTTGTGGTTGAAAGTTCTCTCATTGGTTGTGGGTCTGTAAGTTTGGAGAGAGGGGTACCACCTCAAAAGCTGCTCGTGTCGACTGACCGAATAAAAATTTCGTGATTTGGTTGCAATACCATGGCTGCTAATAGATAAAGCTTGATAAAAAGAGCTATGCGCTTAGTCATGGCTGGGTAGTGTGTGTTCTATACAGTCATGTAATTTAGGGGGCATTTTGTTTTCAATCAAAGTGATATATATCATGTTTTAAAATATTTGATTGTTTTTCTAGATCTTGTAGTTTTAGAGAAGCTTCAAAAAAATTAAACATTTTGCACGTATTAAAAAGAAATACTAAGTGTTGAATGAAAATTATTAAAATTCATAATACTTAGTAATCAAAAGACAATTTTAATTTTGCTTATTCCAATTTTAATTCCTGCAGCTTAATTTAAGAGAATCTATATCACATTTGGTTGCTTATATAATGATAATATATAAATATAATAATCCATTTTATATACTATGATTATATTAAAGATAATATGTGTAATAATATAAAACACAGCAANCGGCATTCTATAAAATGTCTAAAACTAGCAGGCAATGTATGAAATTATTTATATTTCACACATTTCCTAGGCATTACACAGAATGCCAAATGAGAAACCGGAAAAATATAAAATACATCTCCTATTCGTCGAAATATCATTCAAAAATGTCAAATTCAAAAAGTCATTTAAGCCTGCCCCGGACGTGATGTGACCTTGCTAACATGATGGATGGTCCACATTAAACAGTTGATTTGCTTAATATAAACTGCACAAAGAGAAAAAAAAACTCTGTAGTATTATTCTTAAACGATAATGAATCGATTAAAGAAGATTATTATAAATTATTTATTATATTTTGGATGGCAGCAGTCTGGATGAAAAATAGAACAGCTATGGTGAATAAATATTTGCTAACCTTCTGAATAAGTCTATCTTGTATTAAAGTGATAAAACAACACTTCAGCCTTACTGAAAAAAAATGGCCCTGCAAAATGTTAAAAATAACTCAAATCAAACGAAATAAATGAATTAACTTAAACACATTTGAGAGATTCAGCTCATCTATTTTGTATTTCGCACCTTCACAAAAGTATTGTTCAGATCAGTCACACCATAGTAATGTTGGATTTTCTCAGAACTTGTGCAAACGTACCTGCGTGAATGTGCAGAAAGCCAGAAGCGCTAAATCTCTCAAATATAGTCAAGTTCCTGAATGCGTATAAAACTTAAAATGTAAGATCATTTAGAAATATCTATAGTGATCACAAATATCCTTTTCCGTTTTTTTTCTTTCTTCTCTCCTGGGAAATTTAGTTATGGAATTTTGTTTTACTACATTGGGAATTATTTTCATTCCTAGTTGTAATTTTTTTTTAGGGGAGGGGATATGTGATTGGTGAATGCTTCATTAACTTACAGTTGCAGGTACACCATCTAGTTGCCGTCCACCATGATTAGAAACGAGAATCCCTGAAGCTCCATTTTCTACAGCCAGAGCAGCATCTTCACCTGTCATGAAACATTCAGAAAAAACAAATGTTTAAGTTTACAAATGTAAAGTGAGAAAAAAAACCTCAATCTTTGAAGATAAATTACAATTTCTATCTCTTTTTCCTTAAGAAAGCACACCGTTCCACGATTCGGTAACTAAAAGGTTTTGTTTGTTCTTTAAAAAACTAAAAAAAAAAAACTTCGATAAAAAACCAAATAATTTTGTTTGTTCTTTACAGTCATCACTCACTCCACTGGTAAAAGTCGGGGTCGTAAGTTCGATCCTGAAAGCCGGCAACCGTAGTAGTATGCGCAGCAAGGTGCAGTTAGTTAAATCTGTTGTGGTTGAAAATCCTCTGGTTGGTTATGGTGTCAGAAGTTGTTCATGTCGTCTGACAGAGAACAAAATTACGTGACTCTCCTACCATAGCTGCTAAAAGATAGAGGCTGGGTGCGTGGTCATGGTTGAGTAGTGTGTGTTCTATACAGTCTAGTAATTATGGGGCATTTTGTTTTCAATCTAAATTATGAATATTACGTTCTAAAATATTTGATTGTCTTTCTCTATCTTGAAATTTTAGAAAAGCTTCCAAAAATTTAACATTTTGTATATATTTTGCAAAGTGTTGAATGAAAAACATTAAAATTCATAATACTTAGTAATCAAAAGACAATTTTTATTCCATTTATCTCAATTTTTAATGCTGCAGCTTAATTTAATTAGAATCTAAATAATTTGATTGCTTATATAATAATAGTATGTAAATATAATATTATATTTTATATACTATAATCATATTAACGATAATATGTGCAATAATATAAAACACAGAAAATATTAGTATGTCTAACAAAAATAAATAAACAAAACAAAAGTGTTTCATCAATTAGCTGAAATTATACATTTTGAATGGAACAGAAATTATTCCTTAAAAATATCGTGAGACAATCAGTGAAGATCTTTGCAAAAAAAAAATAATAAACAAATAAATAAAATTTAACTTGTTTTATAAGATTTGTTTAAAATACTTCAATTAAAGAGCTATTTTTAAGAATTTTTTTTATCTAAGAAATTTAGTACTTCATTTCTGCGAATAATTATTCTCTAAAGATATTTAAAGCGAACAATATTACAAAAATGTTACCAGTTAAAACTCCTTTCACCACAATTGGTAAAGAAGTGAATGTCCGTATCCATTGGATATCTTTCCATGTGACCGTTGGGTCAAGCAGAGAAAATCCAATTTTTGTTCGTAAACTTGAACCGGAGCCATGGACATCATTTTTAGCTTGTAAATTTGGAAGTCTGCAAATATTATTTCAAAAAAAATTAGTGGTGAGAGCAAATACTATAATCAAAGAATATAATTTATACAATGAAATAAATTTTTGTACTTGGTTCTGCGTAATTTTCATTGACTTGTAAGTTTATCATTCACAGAAAAAACTGCTAAGATGATTAGAAAAATTTGCTAAGATGTTTTATATGCTTTTCGAACCGAGTTCACGCAGAATTGGATATCTGCAAGTAACGCCATCGTAGGTTAATTGGGTACTTGCACTTCAAAAAGAAGATGATGTCGGATACCCACACATGTGGGGCCTATGACGTCAGTGCCAGCTGATAGTTATACGCAAAATATCGTGTTAAAATTAAGCTAAGTTTCTCCAAATAAATTAGAATGTTAATTAACGCGAAATCATGTGAATACAGTGCCGCACCACGAATTTGTTGAACTATAATTCTTTTTCGTATACGCCTTTTAGTTAGATTAGATTTATTATTTGTTTATGTATTTTATTGCAACCTTGATGTATTTTCGTTTTGTGTACCTGGCCACTTTGATGCATAATTTGTTTGTTTCTGTTCTACATGACTTCGTGCCTGTCGATGTGTTAACTGAGAAATATTTAGTGAAATAATTTAAATCTTTATGAAAAAATTTTTGGGAAAGAATATAGATTATGTCACTTAAGAGAATTGATATTTGACAGGCTTGTTCACTCGAAATAGAATGGAAAGAACAGTTGCCAACATAAGCCAATGCCACGTTTCAATAACCAATCAGGATCGAGATACCCATACTACGTCACATGCAGGTATCCCATTGCGTGTCATTTGTCGATTTAGAAGCCAATCAGGTTTGACAATCACGCGTGATGTCGCTTACAGGTATCCAATTAAATCTGATTTAAAGAGACGGAATTTTTTGTAACCTTACCATCTATCTATTTTGTATGTTGACATCTAAAATTAGTCAGATTTGTATGGGGTGTAATTGAATGCTACTTCATAAGTTGACCATAAAATTGAATTAGTTAAATTATTTTAAAAGCTAACCTAAAACTTTTTTGTGAGTTCACCATATAAGGAACTATGGTGGACTTCTGAATAATTCAGTTTGGACGCATGACTTCATTTATTTTAGATGATTAAATAAAAATAATGGCATGTAATTCTTTTTATTCTATTGTATTAAAAATAGTAATCAAGCTTATTACCTAAAAATATGCATGTCTGTTTATCTTAAACTAATCATTTTAAAATTAAATTTATTTAACAAATCGTAATTCTTTTCTGTAATAAATCTCATTTCTCAAGATATATAGAGGTCAATTAATTTAAAATTAAATTTATGTAATAAATTTTAATTCTTTCTGTAATTAAACTCATTTCCTAAAACAGAGGTCAATAAATTTAAATTTAAAACTTAATTTATCTTATAAATTGTAATTATTTTCTGTAATCTCATTTCTCAAGATATATAGAGGCCAATAAATTTAAAATTAAATTTACGTAATAAATTGTAATTCTTTCTATAATTACATTCATTTCTCAAGATGCATTCTTGCTAAATAAGATTTTAAAATAGAATTTTTGAAAAAATATTTTTATTCACTTTTATTTATACTTAATTATTTTGGTTGATAATGTGTGAGAAGTGGAGTGTCTGAAAATAACATGATATAAAAAATAAAATACACTGACTCTATAAGTAGATTAACCGTCTAAATTGACCACTGTTATTAAACTGTAATTAAAAGGAAATTACTGTATTAAAGGATTTTACTGTAATTAAAAGTGAAAGTAAAAAACATACGCTAAATGACTGGGCAGTGTTAAATTATGCACCATATTTATTCCCCACATGCCATTTACTGGCGAGTCAGCAGTTACAACTATTGCCTTGATCCCTGCTATATCTGCTCGATGTATCAAAGCTTTCGTCCGTTCTCTGTCTCTAGCTATATACACCTGAAGCCAAAATACAGTGCCTGGAGGGGTTCTGTCAATCAATTCTTCCATTGATGTCGTGGACAGTGTGCTTAAAATCATGACTCCTCCTAGTGCTGATATAGCTGCAAAAAAGTGTAAAGAACTTTATTTATTCATTTATTAAATAGAGTTTAGGTGCATGGAAATAACACTATGGAAAAAAAATAAGCACATTGTGACTAACTGGCTTAACGGACGTAATTTGTCCATATGATCTGTTCAAAAAATCGAATGTCGAAACAAAGTTTAGGCGGTGAATTTTGGTAAACGTATGCTGTTATATTGAATTGAATTATCTTGAATTTGTTATTTCTTTTCTCCATCATTTTTGCAGGATTTGCCATTCTATAGCACAGCGATTCCCAATAGGTGTTCCGTGGAAACTTTGGGTTACGTGTAAGGGTCATGAGGTTTCGGAGAGCAGAATTTTTTCTTCTGACCTGTGATGATTTCTGAACCTTTCAATTACATGGAGAAAGAATAATCTAAATATTGATTTTATCCTTCGATTATTTTATGAAATTAAGTGCATCTTAAGTGAAAAAGGAAATGCAAAATTAAAAAAATATGGATATTTTCTAATAACATAAATATTAAATAAAATTATGTAAAGGAATAAGTAAATTATTAAAAATTTCATTAGTATTTCCCATCTAGCATTTCGATTCAGAATGAAATAACTAAATTCAATAATACAGAAATCTGCCTCCCTGTCCCCTTGTCTAACCATTTTTAACCTTTATAACTGTTCTTTCCCGTTTTTATTTTAACGAAATCCAAAATTTTGCATAGTTTATTTTAAGCTAATGCATAGATCAAAAACAAATTTCGAACTAGCCTAGAAGCCGCTTTTAACCTGCAAATTCAATGTCTGATTAAACCCAATTATAAAACTAATATTGATGAAAAAATTCATCTTTCCTCAGTAAATTACAATAGTAATGTTTCTTTGATTAATATGTTCACAATTGTTATTCAATTTTCTTTTGAAATCGGGGATTTTGGCAAAAGAAATTCAATTATTTTGGATTCCATAACCGAAAAGAAGTTAGGAACAGCTGCTATAGCTGTGAGTTCTAACTGCCAATAAGCATCGTAACATTTTCAAAATAACAAAATGGCAAAGGAAATATGAAACTTACGCAACTCTCGTAAAGTAATTTTCGAGTAAACTTTGCGATTCCGTAATGAAAATAATTTACATGATTCAAGAGGAGTTCGGAAGAATGCGACCAAACGTAGTTGAAGATGGTCGAACTGGGAAGATCTGATCCACTGCCTCATCTGGAAGTTCAATATGGAATACTAGTTTCCTAGATATCTACTAGTAAGTACTGCAGTTTTTTTTCAGTGTACGATCCTGTATACTTCTTGATTGATACTTATAACTTGATAGTTATATATTTTACTTGATCCTGCATACTTACTTAATGATAATTTCATTCCTGTTACTTTCAAAGGCCTTACACCAAATGATGAGCGACACATAAATAAAACTAGCTACAAATCCGTAGAAAGTGAAAACACGTCTTAGAAGGTAACATAAATGATATTATCATTGATCAAGTAACTATGAAGGATCATATACTGAAAAAAAAAGAAAAAAGAAACCACAGTAATGTAATTACTAGAAGATCTCTAAGAAACTGGAATTCCAAAAAAATTTCTTGCACAGTAATGCAGTCTACGTCACTTAAAAATAAAACGTATACTTGGAAATGTATCCCTATGAAATGTTTATAAAATCCTTGTTTCCTCAAGATTTTTTAGTGAGAACTGCAATTTTTTTTGTAGAATATCGAACTTGCAGATGAGGTAATGGATTAAATCTTTCCCTTTCGACTATCTTCAACCTACATATACAAAATCTTTCACCACTAATGAATTCAGTGCATTGCTCAGTAAAATATAAATTTGCTTTATCACTAACTGAAAAATGCAGGATGGAAAATTTCGAACTCATATTTATTTAAGTTAGTTGGGCAAGTTTATTTCTTGTAAAAAGGTTTTAAAAATCGAGAAAACGCATGATAAAAGTATATACGAGTACCTTTAATTAATCGAAGGAAAGAATATATAGAGCTAAAATATTAATTGTAACAAAATAAGTACAACTTGTATACAATGCAATAAACTTGTATTCAATGACGTATAGAACTGTCATTAAAATACGAAGTAGTGAGCAGAAAAATCTCCAGCATCGTAAGTTGATGTTCATTAACCCTTTGACGCAGATGGAATTCCGGTGTCCCTTTTATATATTATTTTACTGACACTCTAATTACAAGCAAAAATATATTTTGGCCTTTTTAATTATAAAAAACAATCTAACAGTTACTAAAAGTTCTGTTTGATTATGGGAATTATATTTGTATTAAAATACAGAATGCAAAAAAGTGATTTTCGAATTTTTTTTCTTCTATCATATCCAAAAATTTATCAATAGTTGATTTTGTAAACTAAAATATAAGAATTATGCTTAATAAATATGTAGCTATTAATTAAAAAATTTCCTCACCCAGATTTAAAACCTGTTCAACAAATTGATATAGGTAAACATATTGGCAAAACAGAAGATTAAGAGATCGTCTTATTTAATTTAATTGTTCATTCCTGTCCTGGCAGTTGAGTAAAGTTAAATTAATCTTTTTTTTTAATTTCATTTTCATAAAATATTGAAAGCATCTTCTACAGTGTAACTGGTGTGTAAGAAATTGTTGCTTTACTAATCGTTTCTTTGCAATAAATAAATATATTTTGACATATTTAATCAGCTTTTATTCTACGCATCAAATGTTCTTCGATTTCAGCATTTAACTCTATCAATTGAGTGTGTGTTTTTTTCATTTGTATTACACATAATGTTTTGTGTGTTTCATGTGATTACGTCTTAATTAATTACTTCTGATATTAATAACTTCTTGTGTACTTGTCTTTAGATTTGATAATTTATCAGCACAATCATTAATTCAGCTAAGATAAGGCTTTGAGACATGACGCAGGCATATTAGCGCGTAAACATACAATAATTTGGTCCAAAGTTATCCCTGGGTCATTGATTTTTGTGTGCTCCACATGTCACTAGTTCATTTTCATGTGAATATTACTAAAAACAGATATTTAAAGTGGTTTTAGGACCACCATGTCTATCGAAAAGTACAAAGATTATAAACTTACCTTTTGCAGTTGCAAGTTCTCCTTCGGGATGCACCATTTTTTGGAATGCAATAGGAGAAGCTCCGAAAGGTATGCTGAGTGACTGTCCCAATAAAGTGACACTCATATTCCTGTTGGAGACATTGCGAAACAAGCGAGGTCTGATTCTCAGCCTGTTGAGAAATAAATAAATTATCTCCTAAACTGATCAAGATTCCCCACTACAGTTTGTTTATCATTCATAAAATAATTTTTACTATTCCTTGAAAGTTATTCAAATATTTTTCATTCATGTAACATAATTAGGTTATTTGTTGTATATACGTGAGAGATATTCATGAGATAAAGTAGGTTCGTAGGCCACTGCCAAAGGCAATAAGATGTTTCAAAGTATTGTGCTGTTAGTGAGGAAAGTATCATTCATAAACTAATTTTTACTATTTTTTGAAAGTTATTTAAATATTATTCATTCATGTAACATAATTAGGTTATTTCTTGTATATACGTAAAAGATATTCATGAGATAAAAGAGGTTCGTAGGCCACTGCCAATAGGCAATAAGATGTTTCGATGTATTGTGCTGCTATCTGGAGGAAATTCGCAAATTTTAATGAGCTAAAGAAGCAGTTTGAATTGAAAATATCACATGAGAAAAAATGTGGTTTACTAACGTATTGCCCAAAGCCCTCCAATTATTGAAAATAGTCTAATTTTAATTTAAAGAGTTTCATAATTAAAGTTACAACTTGTTTGAAAACAGTACCTTTTGAAAGCCAGCTCATTGTCTATGAGCGTTTGTTGTTCATCAGCACCACTGTTGTAATAATCCCTGGCATGTCTATCCATATAAACAGTTGCATATCCTTCATAGTCTCTCACACATTTCATATAACTATTACTCAGTCTGGAAAATTTAATTTTGATNTAAAGAAAATTTCATTTTTCATTACAAAAACTTCAAATTTCACTCACTTTCGTGTAAATCTAGCTTCACTTTGTGCCAAAGCTTCCTGAAAAGTATTAAAGTAGCACATTACTAATACACATTGAAAATTCCGGAATCCTTCGCAAGCATTTTTTTTAAAAAAAGTATAAAATTTTACTTAAATTTGATGTTATAATTACGCTATCACGAGGACGCTATCACGTGGTTCAAGCAAAATTTTGTTCACAGATTTCGAACCCTTGAGTAAAATTTTTTTTATCGTTTACTGATTTTATCGTATACTGGCTTTTATCAATACTATTTTTAATATTGTTTTCAGCACTTTCTGATAAAATATGAGTTTCAAGAATGCTAGTGGGTCTGCAAATATTAAGTTAATGATTTGTATGCACTTTTTCTTTTGTTTAGCTTCAAGTATAAAAACAGTTTCTATATGAGTTTGAAAAATATTGAAACATTAAATTAATTTTTTTACCTTCGATATGTATCCAGTTGCTAGCTGTGATAGACAAAAGCATATTTCCCAAATGAAATATACTCTTTCTTTATTCATTTTACATCAAATCTGGAGAAAACAAAACAAGGATCTGGAGAAACTAAATTAATGTATTAGTTAGCAACAATTTCATAATACAACAACAATATAGAGTACACGCTACATATTATAAAGTATAAACATATGAAGTTTATATATCATATTAATAATTGTTAATGATAAATATTTATACTGGACAAATATTAGTCTATACTAGATTACAAACATGTTTTTAAGTTACCATAATTTTTCACTGAAAATTAAAAGCTTTGGAAATACTGCTACTAGAAAATACTGCCATACTACTACTTCAAAGAAAAATTATAAGCACCACCGAAGTCAATGCCGAGCACCCAGCCACGTTTTACATGTTGTGTACAGAGACAGAACTAATTTTATACAAGTTTATTACATGAAAGAAAAACAATGTGCTTTTGTGTTTTTTCGTTATCGAAAATACTAATAATGTCATGTTGAAGCTAACACTCGCAGTTGTAACTGCTAAAATAGTTATTTTTTCCTTTTGGTTGCATTCAATTTTAGTCCTAAAAAGGAACAATACATTCATATTATTATAGATGATCTGACTTATTAAAATTATGCATTTTATCACATTTCAAATTTGTCCATCCTGGTAGCGAGCGGAGCGAGCTATGTCCGCTAAGCATAATATCGCATAACAATCGTTTGGGGTTAGCTAGCGTCAGAATGCAGGAAGCATAACCCCCTAGTAATCGTGATTTCAACATAGGAAATAAAGTATTCTCTCATAAAGTCACTGATTGCCTTTAATTTGAAGGTATTTGACCGTGAAAAAACAGCTAGGTTATAGGTTTGAACATTCTGCATGTTTAACGGACGTAGCCAACAAAAACAGTTCAATGCGCTACAGCCTTACACCAATAACGTAAATTTACCGAACTTCCCCGTTTTGCTTGAAAAGCGGATCTTGTCCGTAAAATTATACGGTAAATGATGCTAAATTACATTTCTTTGTCAATGTATAGTAGATCATAAAATACCTGAGTTTATGGTTCCACATAAGAGAAACAAATAAATGGATTGACAAAATAATTAATTTAAAAAAGTGTAATAATTTAACTTTTACTAAATAAAATGTCCTTCGTTATTTGATTATTGAAGTAAAATATTTAATATAAAAATAAATGAAATAGTTCTCAGGGTTACGAAATATTTTAATGTTGCAAGGAATTTAAAAGAATTAATTTTCTTTTCTATTTTTCATAAAAGATTTAAAACTTTTCTAATTAATCTTTTTTTTTTATTAAAAGAACTGATTTTTTTATTTTAAATTGCCTACAAATCTATTAAATGCAAAAAATTATTTCTTTATGAAAACACATAATAAAACCTACCTATATTCTTTCCTTACAAATCACAGACTAACCCTTTCACAAAGCAAACGAATTTCACTATAAAATAAAATTTACGTGCATGATAATTTATATGGAGCTCATCTTCTTTTTTCAACCCAATTATTTAACATCCCTTGATTTTTTTGTTGTTTTTAATATATTTTCATATTTTTTCTCATTTGGACATCTTCCTGCGACTGACCCACATATAAGGCTACAACTCCTAATTCTATGACCTCGTTCTTCTTCATGAAGCATACTGTGTGTGTGGGTAATAAGATTGGTCAGAATTAATTGGACTACATAAAAATAATAAAGGTAGCCTGTCTCATTTCAGATTAATTCTCATTTATCATTAGATAACTAATTTTTTGACATGTTCGTTATCAATTTACACATTGTATGTTTGGTATTATTTTGAACAATATATAATTTAGTTATACAAAAGGTGGGATGCAAGTTGTCTTGTAGTTTATAATAACGGTAGAAAAAAATTGAATAATTAATTTATTATTGGGGCGTTAAATAATTGACCTTAACAATGAATTTGACAACGTCATATTTTATTTAATGATATTTATTTATTTTAAGTTTTTAAACTATTATTAACCCCTTTCAGTTATTAAATTTTACTTTTCCTGTGTTAATCTACAGGAATTTATTGAATACAGTTTCTTTATTATTCAAGAAACTATAATTAAGTTTTTTTTTAAATATTTCTCGTTTGATTTGCTTCATCTAATCAAAGATTTGAAGTTTTTTAAGCACTGTATGTAGGTAATAAGGATGGGAATTAATGATTTGAAATGAAAATTAAAGATTGGAAATAGAGTTCAAAAATTGGAAATGGAATTTAAAAATTTTCAGTTTCTAAAATACTGTTGGTGGATGAAAAGAATAGTCAGAATTAATTGATCTAAAAATAATAAAAGTTAAATGTCACATTTTAGATTAATTCTCATTTATTACGAAACCTGTAATTAAATTCATATCTAATTAATAATCCATTACTTATAAAATATTTCTGTTTTATTTATGAAATTATATTTTATTTAAATGTTTGTGAGAAAAGAAATTTTAAAACGATGTTTTTTTTAGAATTATAATATAATTATGAAAAATATATATGCATTTAAGAAGAATTCTATTAGCATTTCACATCGAATAAAATAACCAAATTCAACAATGAAGTATATTTTCCTGATAATGTTTCTTTCTTTCTTTATGTTATTCAATATTTCCGCTCATTCATTTTTCACTTTAGGCATGCACTAAAATTAATATATGAACTATACAATAGATGCCTCGCTAGACCTATGAATTCAACTGTCGGAAATAAAAATTCAGTTCTAAGACTAATATTGATAAACGATAAGAGAAAAAAAATTTCCTTTAGTCACTAAATATTCTCAAAATAATTAATAAAATTTAGGTCCTTACATAGTTTTAAAATTATAAATTGTTTTTCGTTAATTAATATGTTCATAATCGCGAATGAAATTTTTTAATTAAATCTCGGGGTTCTGCCAAAAGAAGGTCGATTATTTATGGTTCGACAACCAGAAAATAAATCGGTAACCGATGAACTCGACTATAGATGGCGCTCCAGACCTCAGAATATAACTCTGACATAAAAAAAGATAATAATAAAAAACAATTTTAAGACTAATAACGATAAAAGATGTAAGAAAAAATTTCATACATTTGCTAAATATTTTCAAAATAATTAATAAAATTTAGATCATTACACAGTTTCAAAATAATTAATAGTCTTTCGTTAATTTATATGTTCACAACTGTAAATGAAATTCATTAATTAAATCTCGCTTTCCTCCAAAAGAAGGTCGATCATTTACGGTTCCACAACCGTAAAAGCATAAACCTTTAAAACTACTTTATGGTGTATGTTGAAGATAGAAGAACTATAAATTGAAATTTTATGAGGAACATACGCTAAGACTAATTAATTTCAATATACCCATTCGTTTTTAATAGTTTTCTTATTAATTCATTAAGTGATATCATCAACTCTTATATAAATAAAATCTCTAATTCAAAAAGGATATATATGTAGAAAAAATTTCATACATTCGCTAAATATTTTCAAAATAATTAATAAAACTTAGATCATTACACAATGTCAAAATAATTAATAGTCTTTCGTTAATTTATAAGTTCACAACTGTATATGAAATTTATTAATCAAAGGTTTCCGCCAAAAGAATGTCTATCATTTAGGGTTCTTCAACCGTAAAAGCCTAAACATTTAAAACTACGTTAAACTGTATGTTGAAGATAGAAAAACTATAAATTGAAATTGTATGAGGAACATACGCTAAGACTAATTAATTTCAATATACCCATTGGTTTTTTATAGTTTTTTTTATTAATTCATTAAGTGATATTATTATCAACTCTTATAGAAATAAAATCTCATGTAGAAAATTATTTTCACTTATCAGTCTTCATTCTAAATAAACTAGCTTAGATAATAGTCCCTTCTGGATACTAAAAATTTCATGACCTTGGTCGCTAAGAATATAACTCCTTGTCATCTTGACTGGTTTAGATATTTATTTATTTTATTCTTTCCCATCCCCTTTAAAGATAATGATCCTCGGACATATCTAAACTGAAACTTTTAGATTCTTCATATTTTGAAACTGAAACTTTTTGCATCCAATCCAGAGCCTTCTTGTAATTATCATATTTGGCGACCTATCGTGTTTTTTTCTACTAAATAAAAAGTTTATTTTTAAATGTCTTTTCAAATCTTTTTCCGGTATCTCTTTTAAAATATATTTTTGTTTGAGGTTTAGAAAAAAAAATCTAAAATTAAATGATTTTTGAATTTTAAAATTACATTTTGAATTAAAAGTTTATTTTCTGTGTTTCTTATAAATTTTCAACATAAAAAGATTACATTTTAATTTCTGGAATTCATCGATTTTTAAACCTTAAAATATGTTGGCGATATTAACAGTCATCATAATCAAAATAATTTCACATTAATAATTTATTACATTAAATGCAACTAAAAATAGGCACAGCGTGCGCCTTAAGGCACATTTTAAATGTCTTTTTCAAATCTTTTTGAGGTATCCTTTTAAAAATATATTTCTGTTTGAGGCTTAGGAAAAAAGTAAAAAATTAATTGGTTTTCGAATTTTAAAATTGCATTCCGAATCAATAGTTTATTTTCTGCGTGTCTTATAAGTTTTCAATATAAAAAGATCACACTTAAATTTCTTGAATTTATCGATTTTTAAACCTTAAAATATGTTGGCTATATTAACAGTCATCATAATCAAAATAATTTCACATTAATAATTTATTACATTAAATGCAACTAAAAATAGGCACAGCGTGCGCCTTAAGGCACATTTTAAATGTCTTTTTCAAATCTTTTTGAGGTATCCTTTTAAAAATATATTTCTGTTTGAGGCTTAGAAAAAAATTAATTGGTTTTTGAATTTTAAAACTGCATCTAGAATCAATACTTTATTTTCTGTGTTTCTTATAAATTTTCAATATAAAAAGATCACACTTAAATTTCTTGAATTTATCGATTTTTAAACCTTAAAATATGTTGGCGATATTAACAGTCATCATAATCAAAATAATTTTACATTAATAATTCGTTACATTAAATACAACTAAAAATAGGCAACTAAGAATAAAATTTTTCAGAGAAGAACAGGTTTTTTTTCTTCATTAAGAAATTAGTTAATTTTAAGTTCGTTAATATACCATGCAAATTTATGATTCTGGTCAGTGTTAAATTTTCAAAAATTTAACACTGATGCGGAATTCCTAACGACCAGTTATCACTGGGATACGAACCCGGTTCACCTCATTGAAATGCGTTCAAATGTAACTACTATAAAAGATTAATAATTATTTACAACTGAAATTTAACTAAAATTGTGAAGGTTAAGAGGACAATAGATGCTAGTAAAAAAAATTTGCAAAAAAAAAATTTAAATCATATGTACTAGATTTATTCTACTTATTAAAGGAAATTGTTAAATATAAATAATTTATTTACTTGGACTTTCAAACACATTGAATTTTCATAATATAATGAATAATTCGTTTGCATAATTCGAAAACAGTATAAGAAAATTTTAAAGATATAATTTTTAGCAAATATTACTATGGAAGTTATGTTGAAATAATAAGTCATAAAATATCATTATTTCAAATAAAATAAAAATTAAATACTATATGAAATTTAAATAATAAATAAAAATAAAGCATTTTGATTCAGCAGTTTGCTTTTAATGACATTTATTAAATAGTTACCCATAAACAGATATGTGCTTTGTGGTTTGACCAACTAGGCAATTGTCCAGGGCCACAAAAATTTAGAGCAGCTGAAAATCAGTTACCATCATGGGTTTATATATTTGAGTTGATTAAATTTAAAATAACTTCTTATTTTATATATTTAAAATTTATAAAAACATAAAAGGAAACATAAATTTAAAGAAAAAACATAAAATAAATTAACCTTTGAGAATCAAGAATAAAATAATTTGTTTAAAAACATAATCTAAATTAACCTTTGAGTTATACTTGATGATTAAAAAATTTTATTCGCTTCAAAAATTATACAGATTGTATAAAAATTTCGATTTTTAATATTATCTACATAATTTTTGAAGCGAAAGAAGTCTTAAAAGTATATCTTTTCTTTTCTGTTTCTTGGTATTATTCATTTTATCTTTCAGTTATTCTTAGATCAGTAAAACAATAATACAAAATCTATCTGACCTTTCATCTCCCTCTCAACTTATAGGGTTGCCGAACTTTCCCACTTTCCCTTTTATATATATATGGTCTCACTTTGTGATGATAATTACAATAATCTCTCACATTTTCAACTGTTTAGTGAATATCAACTTAACTGCAAGAGGTAAGTTTTTATATTGTTTTGAATTAGCAAAAAAAAATTTTTTTATTTCAAATTGGAACAATTTTTTATTATTAAGTTTCAACAAACTAGGGATGACATGAGTCTCGCTTATCATTTTGAAGTTTCAATTTTATTTATTGTAAGTTTATTAAAGCAGAAGTGACCAACACCCTCTGGCTGATAGAGGCATCCCTCTCCCCTTCTGTTCAGCAAAAAATTAAAATACCTGAAATATTTAAAACCGCAATTTTTTAGTCACGTCTAAACGCAATGGAGAATCTCTCAATTATTTCATTGTGAATAATATCTTGTAAGACCTCATTTTCAGAAGATAAATTTAATTTTGATAAAAATCACAGCAAAAATAATACTGAAAAAAATACCATAGAGGATAAATAATGAAATTATTAATTAATTGATTAATTAACTTTACTAAAAAACGGTTATGCGATGCTTGCTTTAACAATTTATTAAACACCCAAATTAATTTGGGTTGTTGAGTTCAACCTCAACAACCCAATCAAATTTATTAAATATCTATTTGAAAGTAATAAGGTATTTTTTTTGGAAAAAAACTCTATTAATACATATTCAATTAATACACGTATAATATGCGAGAATTATTTTAAAGTTCACTGAACTTTTTTTTAAAATTATTTTTCTATATTTTTCACTTATGTCTGTATATCTCTGTAGCATTATCAACCTTAATTTATCAATCAAAATATTAAAAATTCCCGTGCAACAAAACTGCTGGTTTTAAATGTGTTCTCCAATTTGTTATATTCATTGTAACGATGTGAATTGATAATAATAAAATTGATTGGAAAAATATCACCCATTAATATGATGATATCACCCCATGCAAATACAAAAAATGCCCTGAGTTATTAACAATCAAAGCCTACTAAGATACTGACTATTATTAGTAAACTACATTAACAATGTACTCTATTGCGGTTAATTTTGCGATAAATTATGAATATTTTCAAAAAAGATGAAATATTTCCTTTTTTAGACATAACATCACTTTTTATATATACTTAACTTTTAATACTTATTTTTAATTGTAAATACAATTATATAATAATATCGTTTTAAATAAATTATAATCTAACAGTAATCTTTCAGAGGGTTAATCGTCTGACGTGTTAAAAACATCGATAAAAATCATTAAATGTTTTAAAAAATTTATAAAAAAATAACTCGTTAAAAAAGAATTATGTTTGTTTTGAATCACAATAAAATAAAATAACTGTTATTAGTGAGATTAAGAACAGCTTTAGAGCTAAAAAACCCTAATCAATTTGTTAAAGAAAATGAAGTTGGGAAGATTACTTTCAACAAACTTTAAATAAATCCTTATAGATTAGATTATTTTTCGAAATATTTAATTGGGTAATTTCACTTCAAGAAGAAGAAGAAGATCACGAATACCCACACTTGACCTATAACGTCAGAGCCAGCTGATCGTTCATAAGCAAAATGACGTGTAAAATTTGAGCTAAGTTCTGAGCTAGCTAAACACAGCTCCGTAGCGGACATCGAAATTTCTAAAATATAATTCTTTCTCAGCTACATCTTTTACTACATCTTTTCCCAGCTACATCTTTTTATGGATATATTATTTATTTTTTTTACATATATTATATTAAAACAGTAATATAGTTTTGTTTTGTATGCCTGGCAACTACGATGCATAATTAGTTTGTTAATGCTCTACATGGCTTTGTATGTCCCTTTGTGTTAAGTAAGAAAAATATAGTGAAAGAATTGAAATATTTGTGAAAGAATGTAGAATGTGTAACGTAAGAGAATCGATACTTGACAGGGTTTGATAAATTGAAATAGAATAGAAAGAACAGTTGCTGACGTAAATAAATGCCACGTTTCAACAAGCAATGAGGATCGAGATACACCAGTTGCATGTATCTCATTATGTTCGAATAATTTGATTACATTAAATTTAGATTAAACGGCCGGAATCGAATCGAACATTAATATTTATATAAAAATGAATGCGGTGCTTTTTTTCGGTGTTTTTCCAGTGCCTTTTTTCTGTGAAGGGAGAGTCTTTTTCTTGGTTCCCTTTATCTGGATTTTCTTCCAATGTTTTTTATTTCAGCGACCTTTTTTTCCACCAAAAATTTTATTAAATGAACTAGGTTAGAAGGAACAAACGTAATGCAGAAATAGAGTGCAGTTTTTTTTTAATGATTTTATTAGGTTCCTTAAATTAAGATTGAATTCCAATGCATCACGATGAAACATTTTATGAATAAAAATGACAAATCTGTTATTTGTTAATTTTCATTTTTCCTCTCAGTTTTAAATGCATTTTTTTTTCAGGTGTTTGAAATAAATAGATATTCCAAATCAAAGAAAGATGATTGTTATTGTGACACTTATGGCCTTTTTGGTTGTGCATGATTCCCTTGCACTAAACCCCAATTATCGTAAGTAAAAGAAAATATTTTGGAGAAGAAAAAAAAAACATTTTTTCTAAGCATTTGTAAATTATTTATGAATAAGTTGAACCCCATTATAGTGAACTTCCTGTAGACATAGTCATAAGTTCACTAAAATCGAATGGTTCGCTGTATCCAAATTCTTTGACTAATTATTTTTTTAGCATTAATAGTATTGTTGGATATTGTGATTACGATATTACATAACTTGCTTATAAATGATTAAATAGATTATAAATCAAACATTAATGCAAAAGAAAATTACTTTATTTTTTCGTTTAAGGGTAGAAATAAGTGATTTGCGATTGACTACAATTCGAATTAAAGCTGGGTCTGTCAACTTTCGTATTATTAATTTGTAAGGAACCCAGTATCTTCTGGTCATCAATTTGATTAAATGAAAGAAAAAATTCAAAATATTTAATGCCGATTTCACTTTCGAGATAAAAGTAAGCGTAATTTAAGGGTAAAAAAAGGAATGTGGTGCTTAACAACTTGTTCACTCTAATGTAAAAACTAATAACATGCAAGAGTAAGATATGACGAAATGAATAAAATGCAGTAATTTACAATCGTCAACTTCTTGAGCCACGGTGGCTCAGGGAATAGAGCGCTCGCCTCCCAATGTGTTGATCTGGGTTCGAATCCCAGCGATAGTAGGTTGATACAGATTCCGCATCCGGCTCGCACCAACCACATTGCTGACGTAAAATACGTTCAGTGGTAGACTGATCATGGGTTAGTCCCCGTGACGTAAAGTTAACCGTGGGAGGCAAATGCGAGTTAGTTTCATCAGAAAGCCCTTCACGTAGTCATCTAGGAATTGTGTTCTATGTTGGGTTCAAAATTACGAGGATATGAAGTTGAACATTAGCAGTCGCAAACTCTTAACATGGGGTCGGCTGTTCAACGACAGTTATAAAATTAAATCTCCAACTTATGCAAATTCAAAGTTGGAGAAATGTAATAAAAAATACTCAAACTACTAATTTTAAGCTTCCTACTGTAAATGTATGAAATAAAAGTATAAAATAACGTTTACTTAAATGGTGGGAGCTCAGAAGGAACCAGTAAAAAATCTCACTATTACGGACTGTTCACTAAATCCCTGGTTTTGGCGGTGTATGACTGTAGCTTGTATTAGCACTGTTGCCTGCATTTGTATAGCTTGTATTAGCGTTATATATTTTCTGTTTTAATGGCATATGGAATTTCAACTAAATTTTTTTTCATGCGATGCTTTGCAAAGGGTAAGAAAATAATAGTGTATTTAAGTACATACGAGAAAGCAAACAAGAAAACGAACAATAATATGAGATAAAAAATTTAATTTCTCTTGACGGTGTTATTAAGTTTAAATTGGTTTCTGTACTCGTACACATTAAAAGAACCTTGGATTTGGATCTTTGGATTTGGGAATAAAGTTTTATATTTTATAACCATCCACTGTGGGCCAGAAGATCATGATCTTTGGCCAAAAGTCAAAAATTAAATTTTCAACTAAAATAAATCTAGGTAGTTTTAATAGTGCCCAAATTAAGAATTCATAATCATTCCAAACATTATAATTTACTTTTTGGACTGACGGGAGTACAATGTAATAAAAAATATGTTTAAAAAATTTTTTTTAATGTAACTTATAAATTTTTATTTCAGAAATATATATAGGAATTTCACCTTACTGTTACATTTTTATCAGAGTAATTAGTCTGAAACTATGGTACAATTTTTCAATTTGTTGGATTAGTTAATACTCTTGACAAACTTATAGTTTATATCTTATCATTTGACATTTTACAATGTTTGAATGACTTTCGAAACTTAGTTCCAAAAAGTTCCACGAGGTAATTAACTAAACTTAATTAGCTTTTCTTTGTTGTCTTCTTGGATGTTTCTCTTTTCGAAAAAATCTGCCCCATTTTGCCCATATTGCAAAGGTGGACTAAATATACCGAAAAACATAAATTATATTTTTGTTTCATGTTTTCGCGTTATTTTGTAATTAATTCGCATTATTTTGTAATATTACTTCGGAAATATAATTNTTGTTGGATTAGTTAATACACTTGACAAACTTATAGTTTATATCTTATCATTTGACATTTTACAATGTTTGAATCACTTTCAAAACTTATCTCCGAAAAGTTCCACGAGGTAATTAGCTAAGCTTTTTTTTTGTCTTCTTTGTTTCTTGTTTCGAAAAAACCTGCCCCATTTTGCCCATATTGCAAAGGTGGACTAAATATACCGAAAAACATAAATTATGTTTTTGTTTCATGTTTTCGCGGTATTTTATAATTAATTCGCATTATTTTGTAATATTACTTCGGAAATATAATTTGCTTTTCATTTTTAATATAAAATTACGAAAATTATTAATATTTCATGCTATATTTAATTATTTAAACGTTTTGTATATTTAATTATTTAAACGTACTATATTATTTTTTTTTATTTTTGCTCGCCATATTTCAGCCGCCATTTTGTTTTCTTGGGTACTTTTAGTGTATTTCAAAAATTCAACTATCAATTCAATTTACCAGCATATAAAAACCTCTAAATAAAAAATCCCAAATTTTGAAACAAACTTTATCAAAATACTAATTTTGACCACGAAACCTTGGTTGCTGGCCCACTGTGCCATCCGACTCAATTTTGGGTTTACGACTACTAATATCCGACTCCGTATCCTTGTAATTATGAATCAATCCAAAAGACTAGGAAACTCCTGGTACCCAAAGAGGTATGATTTGTTATGGGTGCATGGAGGACTTTGTGACTCGACCGATTGAGCGTGTATCAGTAACCATTTACTGCACGGGGAGTCTTCTGACGGCTGGGATCGAACCCTCAACCTCTTGAACATGAGCCCAGTGCCCTGCCAACGAGGTTATCCTTGCCCTGGGAACAAGGTCTGTTAAACAACAGTATATCTAACCTAAGAGAAAACCTGGGTCACCATAAATTTTACACCCTAGACAATAACCATTGGGAGGTGAGCGCTCTGTCCCCTGAGCTCTAGTATATCAGTAAAAAGAAAAATCTTTATTCATTTTAATCTTAAAAGTCATATTTATTGAAATAATATTTAGTGTATAGAAATATCTGGCGACTCAACTTGCCAAAAATTATAGTACATTTGGTTAAGTCAGACTTTGGCACTGCAGCTGAATTGAAATCTGATTTTGAGATAAGTGCTCTTGAGGCGTTGTAAGTTGCAAAAACAATTCGTTCCATTAGTAATCAAAGTCAGAAAGTGGTAAGTACTGAAGACCAACTAGATATAAGTGAATGAGAGATGGATTTTCCTCAAACTTCAAAACACCTTTTTCCCATCAACTATCCAGTGAGAAATTCTAGAAATAGTACTAAAAAATCAGAAAAAATTTCGAATATACATTTACATTGGCCAAATATAGGAATAAAAGTGGAAGATCAAATCAAAATAAAAAGAAATAAATTACCTTTTACATTAACTTCAGAAAAAGGAAGAAAATTTTAAGAGACTGAAAGAGCTGAAAAAAAGTTAAAGCAAGAAAGTATGATGAAAAGAAAAAAAAATATTTAAAAGGATGAAAAAAAGCTTCAAAATTATGGGGGAAAAGATTAAACAAAACGCGATAAAATAATAGTAATAAAATATCATCGGATTACACAATGATAAACATTCATGATTTAGACTCGATTATTAAAGTGTGAGAAAGAAAATTAAAAATATTATTTTATTTTGTATTGAACCCCATTTTGCTTTTCATTTCATGATTGAAAAAAAAGCAAAATTTTTCACGTTAACTGTGGTTAGATGTTATAATTCCAAGAAAGAAAACCTTGTTTTTAGACATTTGTATGGCCTATGAATTCCTAAAGAGCATAAAAAATTCTCAAACTTAAGTGTTTTTTCACTGGAAAATTTAGTGTTCATTCACTGGTAAGAGCTGTTCCTTCACTTGGTCATCTTACTACTTATTATTTGGATCACCAAAAGCTTAAACCAATATTATGTAAGTTCTCCAATTTTTTTTTACATGATTCGGTATTTAATAACAAATATATTGGCACTGCCATTTAGCTAAAATTACAAATTTTGAAATTTTTATGATTTTTTTAAAGGCAAGCTAATTTTAAGTGTTCCTACTCTGATTAGTTTACCCTACTATTTTAATTACTTCAGATGCAATTAAACAATCTGCATCACCGATAGCTTACTTAACATTGCATCTTGTGATTTGCAGTTAAAATTTTAATAAATTAATTAATGATACTTGAGTTTTTTTTTAGTTTTTTTTTTCATCTGATGGAAACTTAGAAAATCATATTAAGATAAGAACACGTCGATATTATCTGCTATGTCCACTTTGATCGATGTTTTACATCTTTTCTGTATATGTGCTCAATATCATTTATATACTATGTAATATTAATCGAAATGTTGCAAGGTATAAAAAACATACTGATAACATCTTCCTAACCACCATCAATTTTTGTTTACGATTATTCGAATAGTATTTAATAATATAATAGTACTAGGAGGCTCGCTAACGCTCGCCAACCCCCGAGAATTGCTACGCAATCCTATGTGGTTCACGCCGTGAACCATGGCTCGCTGCGCTCGCTCGCCAATGAACACAATGTTCTAGCACAAAGACATAATATATTATCATCAAAGACATAGTATTTTATCATCAAAGACATAGTATTGTACTTATGTAGAAGAATTCTACCAATGTTCTTATTGGCTTTTAAAAANGTTTAGATATTGAAAATCCGATCATTATAACAAAAGTTATTCAGGGTGATATCTTTTTTTTTTTTGCTGACTGTACAATCTAAATAGCTAATATACTTTTTTAAAAGCCAATAAGAACATTGGTAGAATTCATCTACATAAGTACAATACTATGTCTTTGATGATAAAATACTATGTATTTGATGATAATATATTATGTCTTTGTGCTAGAACACTGTGCTCATTGGCGAGCGAGCGCAGCGAGCCATGGTTCACGGCGTGAACCACATGGGATTGCGTAGCAATTCTCGGGGGTTGGCGAGCGTTAGCGAGCAGGGGGCTGAGCCTCCTAGTTGTTTATTATTTTGTTTGGTTTTTGTGAATTTTAATTTAATTGTTACATATGCTTCATAGTGTGTGACATTTGGGTAATAACAATTCATAGAGCAATAACAATTATGATTGGTGGCGTGCCCAAAATATTGTGTCACGTGCCATAAATGGCACGCGTGCCATTGGTTCGCCATCCCTGATTTATACTATGTAATATTAATCGAAATGTTGCAAGGTATAAGAAACATACTGATAACATATTCCTAACCACCATCAATTTTTGTGTACGATTATTCGAATAGTATTTAATAATATAATAGTATTTAACAATATAATAGTGTTTAACATATATAAAATTCACTTCTTGCTACAACACTTTCCACTTGAAGAAGATTTCACGCCATCGCAAATTAATTTACTATAAAATTCAATGGTGGTTGAAAAGCTCATTTAACTGTTTGCCAGATCTAAAATAAAGTCCTATTAAGGCTTATAATATACTTTATAAATAATATACTTTATAAATAATATTTTATTGTCTAAATTAGCATTCTCAAATGTGTAAATAGGTAGAAATCAAACGTTTTTCTAACGTAAAACTCTTATAACTTTTTCAGCTATTGGTTCTACCAACTCGTGTTTGTACTTATTTAGTTCATCGTAAAATACAGCATCGGAAGCAGTACCACACTTGTTTAAACATCAGTATTTAAATTTCTTCTTTTTTGTATCTTTTTTTTTTATTATCTTTTTATGCGAAAACCCGCCACAGAATTTTTGTCATGTATGGTCATCCAAGACAACCCTAAATAAATTCCTTTAAATCCCGGTTTGTTATTTTGAAAAGCCTCCCTAAACCTTAATTAGACTCTATTACCAGTATTTGAGGTATTTAATTGCATAACACCTAAATTATGAAATAATATAATTCAAACAAAAGGTGAGAACGAACCAATATTGTTTTATCAAAGCAATACATTCAATAAATTTACTATAGGGTCTTTTTTTTAAATTTCAGGTGACTGCTCAGATAACGAATGTTATTATTACGATAATCAAACGGATCCCAGAAATCAAGTTATAGACCTCTATGATGCAATAGAAAGCAAAATGGCAGACTCAATTCCAATGCCAGACTTTGATTTATATGCCTCCTTCCATGGTGGGATTCTGAAGTACTATTATGATGATACCATGGATTCTGAATGCATTTGTCCTTTAACCAGAAAAAGTGATGATATATATGCTATTTTTCATGATGACGTCCCGCTGGACATTCAATATAACTGGACAATCCACTGGTCTCCTTTCACTAGCTACACCATAAATGGAAGTATGGATATAAGTGCCCAAGTTTTCTACGAGGTTTATTTCATCAACGATACGTAAGTAATAGTTAAATTACTTAAAGAGTAACTTAAATTGATTTGCTTAGAGCAGAGTTTCTTTAAAGCTGTAAATTTATGGAAAATAAAAACAAACACACTTTCTTTTTCAGCATTCTAGTTCCTGCAGTAAATCTGCGCATTTGTTTGCTTATATATCAATAACAATATCTGTGGTTCCTTTACATGTAAAATCGAATGCACAGATATGATATCTTTACATTATGTAAAAATATCATAACATTATGTAATGGATAACATTATGTAAAAATTTTCATAACGCTTGTTCAATGCACAATTTTATCTTAGACTGTTTGTGAAAAAACTACCCTTAAGTTCCATCTTCAACATAAAAAAATCCCTACGTATTCAAATGACATGTAGCCATCAAAAAGCATTCATGTGAAAAACTTGTGTTTTTGATGTATCAATGGGAAAGGTGCGTTTATTTTTAATTAAATTATCAAATATTGGCAAAATAGTCACCAAAGGTAGACAGAGCACTTATTTAGATTTGATCCACACTTTAAATCACTGTGATTTAAGGCCAAAATGTTTTCTCATACAAAAAATGTACTAAATGAAAACCTTAGAAATCGAAATACTTTTGCGATTCCTAAACAAAAATAAATATTCGATGCTTGTAAAACTGAAGTGACTGACAAAAATATCAAAACAGATTTGGTGACTCCTTCTGAAGGACATGCGACCCACACTTTATGAAATTCTAGCTTAGTGCCAACAGTACAGTGCCAAACAGTGCTTCAGTTCACATTTTAAGATGCAATTTAAATGGTTGATGGGATTTACTTTAAATATAGAAATTAATATGTATCGATGATAGTATGTTAATGCGCCTAAGACGCTTCTTACATAGTATTAAAACTCGTTTTTCATCTAATATTTAACAATAATTTTAAAAATTTATTGTAATGTAAAGAAAATTTTAAATCATTTGAAATTATGTAATTTTAAATAACAAATTACAACAAAAAGTTAAAATTTTGACTTCTTTTGAATTTCTCTACTCAGAAACTATTCACCCATTAAAAACGATAAAAGTGCATTAAGAAAAACATTTATATCTAGATACCACAAGGATAGTATGGATTACTCACTTTATTTCAGTTCTTAAATTTTAAACTAAATAAAATGCTTTGCAGTCGATTGTATATATCAGGGGTTTCCAACTTACATGAGGCCGAGGGCCACAATTAAAAACACAAATCAAATGGCGCGCCACAACTTTATCAAAATTTTATGAAGGGCTTTTTTATGTTTGACAGAACATTAAATATTACTGTCGGATTTTTAATGAGTTGTACAAAACAAAAGTATTGAATTACAAATTAAAATATGAAGTAGATTTTTAAAAATATTTAATTGTTATTAATAATACTTTTAAAAATATTAAATAAATAATAAAAATTCGGGCTACAATAACTTTAATGTGCACCTATGCATTAAACAAATAATGTGCAACAGATATCTAATTGCGAAGATGTAAAACTTTAAAAAGGTTGGTATTAAAACTTACATAGTAGCACACAAAATATTCAATGAGAAAATTGAGATTTGTCTGCTACAACCACCAGACAATAGATATTTACATTTAAAATTTACAAATGTGTGTGTAAATATTTTCGTCCAAAATGAGTGAGTGGTTTCAAAAAGTTAAATCGGATAATTTCTTCGAGAAAATTTCTGATACGCACATGCTAAATTATATTAACAAAATACAAAAAGAAATGAAATAAAATAGAGCTACATACATGATTATTTTTGCATTTGAATAAATATTTTCCTGGGTGTANTATATATATATATATATAAAGCCGTAAATCAAAATAAAGAAAAGATAAAAATAATCTCTTCATCAGCTCACACGATTATATCCACAAAAAGGGAGTGCTTTCTAATATTGCATTAATGCAGTCAAATCAAAATTTATCAATACAACTGTCTGAGGAGCACCAAAAAATTGAAACAGAAATGGAACAATTGAGCAGAAATTTAAAATGAAAAAAAAAATTGCAAAATTAAACAATAAATCAAAAATTAATTTTTCTATTCTTTAAAAGAAAGTTCAAAACGATCAAGAGTTTTTCAGAAATTTCACTTTGTACTATTAAACAGGATTTATTAAAAGTGAGACTCCGGCATTGTGGAGGATCATCCCCCATTAAATTATGTTTTCTCTCCTTTTACCATCACATTTTGTTTTCCGGACGATTATTGTTGGGTAATATAATTTGTTATTAATTTTGTCTTGTGATACAAAATAAAATCTCTAACATATCAAGATAAAAAAATTGCCAAATTTTATCGCATTAATCAAGTTGTATCACATATTTTAAAACCATATTTCGTTGTTAATTTTACAAAAATAATTACTTATTCAATTCGGTCGAAGCTTTTTGGTGTTCTCATAGATAAAGAAAGAAGAGTAGATTTCCCCATCTTCTGGTACTTTTGCCTATAGTACTTTCATCTCGGTGTATGTGTATAAAAGTACAGCATATTCAGTGCAGAGTAATGGCGTATTTTCATTGATATCCTGATAATCTCTTTTTTTTCTCAATTAGCTAAAATCAAATGTCAAAACTATTTTCAATGATTTGTATACTTCTTTAGAAATAACACATATCTAAGCAAATTTTGTCGTTTCAGCAATGGTGGTGGGCCATCAATTGACAGAGTAAACATTACATCATTCGACATCTACTCTTGGTGGTTCGAAGGACAGCCTCTGAAGATGCTAGAAAAGATTCCCGATGAATTATTTAACAAAACTATGGGTTTTGTTCTGAAGCAGATCATTGAAGATAAAATGGCGTTGACCTATAACAACGCAATACAAGATGCCAAGAGAAATTTTCACAGACCTACATTTCACCAGAGACGAGCAAGCAGCGTTAAGATCCTCAACTTACTTAAATCCCGAAGAAAGAATAATACTCGGAAATCAAAGTATTTTTTTAAAAGAATGAACAATTCATTATAACATTGCTGCAGTTACTATAAGAGCTCTTTTTAAAGGTAAAGTTAAAAAATGGTATATACACGAGCCTTAAGTAATATTGGAATCAAAATAAAAAATAATAACATTGAAATCTTTGAATTACTAGTGAGAAAGGCGGGATAAAACCTTTTTAATTGCTTAATGAAGCACGTTTCTAATCCTGTTTCTTCTGGCAACATAAGCAGATTTATATGTTTTCGATCCCTCCTTCCACGGCAGCGATTCGCATTTGTCGTTTTTCTGCATTAATGCTAATTTGCAACTTGTTGATGCTTTACAACCATATATGATTCTTGACACCCCAACATGCAAGGATACAAACTTGTCATTTGTGCATCTACATTACTTGTACCGGTGTATGCCACGCGGGTATACAGTCAACTTCTGACCTTCTGCAGACTATATCCCAGACATAGATAGATAGTTTACAGTACATATACAACTGTATAGGATGCATACTTTTTTTAAACAAGGATTTTAACAATATATGCTAAGTATGGTCATCACTGACAACCTTAAATATTATATGCTACCATTATTATGATCATCATACATCATACTCCTTTTTATAGCAAGTATCATATACATATTTTTAATTATGTAGTCTAGTAACATGTAATAAACCTTTTTTATGCTTTGTGTTGTGTACAATTAAATATAGCTCATTTCATTTAATTCTGATAAACTAACATTTCTAATTCATTCTATCTAACTTCAAAATTAAAAAAGAAAATGCATACTATTGTTTTGCATATTTTTATTGCATTATTTTGGCTACGTTACAATTTCTTTGGTCATTAAACAACACTGACGAAAACAAAGCGCGGGCACCTCTGTCAAGTAGTCCCCTGTGACGTCATTAGTAGCGCTGTGATCGTTTGTGTAGAGGTACCTCGTTTGCTCACCGAAGATAGTAGCGTAGAGACATTTTGAAATGTAGTTTATCCCAATTGTTTTCTTTCTTTTCGAATTTTTCTTAGCTTGCCCATCGTTAATATATCCAGTTGTCCTCGACTAGAGACTCGAGGTGGGCCACTCACAGGCTACCTGTTACAGAAACTTCGGTGTTCTAAAAAAATGGGTGTCCACTCTGTAGAGTCAGTGCACTGAGAGACACAGGGGTCCGCTAACCTGGTCAGGGCCGCAAAAAGGCCAGAACACCTGCTTCAGACTTTTTTTTAAGACTTCTGACCAAGAGGCATAAGTTAGTTACAGAGACGTAACTGTCTCATCTCACATCGTAACTGCCTCATTTCAGAAATAACTGTTGTCCAGAGACTTGATACAGGTTGCCTGTATACCAGGAGTTCTGTGGTGTGCATCCCTTGGTTGTGAGCCACGACCAAAATAATGATCTGAGAATACCTGTCTTTGATAAAGAAAAATTGGGGGCCGATTCTCTTCAATGATGAGTTATGATTTTTAGTCTAAACAGCTACTTAAGACGCGTTCTCATCTGGAGAGAACCAGGAAGTCGATATCGACCCTCTAACATTGTTTTAAAAAAACTGACTATGGTCGAGGTGATCTGATGGTCTTGACAGTGATCGTGGTGCACGGGCATACCGACCTTTATGTGAACGATAGAGGTACTCTGATAGGACAGTGTTACGGAGACAAAACCTTTGAAACCCATATGAAACTTTTCCGTGAAGCATGAGGACAAAATTTTATCTTAATGATAACGGACTTAATGAGGTGGACGAATACCTCCAATAGAAGGATATTCAACAATCGGAATGGTCTGCAATGTCTCCTGACATTAATCCCATCGAACATGTATGTGACGGTCAAGAGTGGCTCGGTGCAAGAATGGATTTTGTTGTTTCAGGGATTATTAAGGACCCTTGCAAGCAATATGAAACACCGGTGCGAGAGTTGTGTAGCTGCTAGAGACGATCATATACCATATTTAAAATATTTCTCTGACTGACAGGGTGTCGGTGATATTTTGGCAAGATTTGTAAATTACAATTACTATTGTATAAAACCTTGCTTCTCACGAATTATTATTGTGAAAGTTAAAAAAATTGAAAGCTACGAATTAAATACCGATTCAACGAGAAAATTTATTGCACAAACAGAGATATTTGTAGTACCAAATTGCTACCTTGGTCGAAAATTTTTATAAAACTTAATTAATATCATTCATAGAAATTACATAATTGTTCATACAGTTAACTATAATATGCCATTCGGAATAAAATTGATAAATTTAAATAATTTGATGTTCGCAAATGCTCAATATCAGGGCTCGAAAAACAGCCTGTCCGCCCGTCCTCGACGGTCAAAAATTCTCCGCGGACAACGAATTTCTAGAATCCGACGTCCGCGCGGACGGCCATTTTCCCGTTAATGTTCGTGATACGTTTTCAATTTTTGTTATTTTACAAGAGTCTTGCAAGTTACAAGGCAGCAAAATGACCCACAATACAGCAACATACTGCGCATATATTGATGTTTTCTCTGTCTGGGAGTACTGCAGCGGTTGAAAGGGGCTTTGCAGCAATAAACTTACAAAAAAACACAATACGTACTGGTCTTAAATAAGAAGCTTTAAAAGCAATTATGAACATCTACCTAAATGGAAAACCCCTTTCAGATTTCTGTTCAGAAACCTCTGTAAATCATTGGCTTGATTGTGGAACTGGCAAACGTCATTATTGATTCATTTAAAAAACGCAGTACCCTCGGATAACTTGACATTCCAGATAACTTGACCCTTGTCATTTAAATTATTTCATAAAAGAAATGCTTGGTTACTATTAGTATCCTAGTATTTCTTTTATTACGGTATAATGTAATCCTAGTAACGACTAATTCATTGTGCAATTTATATAAATGTTTGTAATAAATAGGAGAAAATTATATTTTTATTTATTTAAAAGCGACGGGTTAGTTTCAACGGAGGACGGGTGAATTGTTGGACAAGCCGTCCTCGGGGACGGGTAAAATTTCTGAGTTTTTTCGAGCCCTGCTCAATATAACAAAACAATAAAAATTTAGTCGACAGTTTTGAGTTGAGTTGCATTTGAAGATCATACACAACTCTAATGATTGTTAATCTTATTTATTCAATCTTTTNACAGATGGTGGAATTTTTTTTTTTTTTTTTAACAAACACTAGTTTTTGTTATTTACTCAACATGCAGATACGTATAATACTGCATCGGACAAACAATACATATTGAACTCAGTCGCCCAAAAGGCAAACTCATAATATTAAATATTAACTTACTAGATTTAAAGTTCAAAGAATAAACATTGAATAGCCGAAAAAAGTTTTTAAATTTTTAACAATTCCTCATTGATTAAAAAAATATTTTATAGTTTAATGAAGATCATGCAGACGGATTTCCTTTTCCTACACACTGAGCCAGTACAAATTTAATTGTAAGGAAATATTCTCCCTGTGGTATTAAGGGACTTTACCACACCAATAACACATTAAATAAATTATATTTATAATAATAATTCTATATATTTAATATAATAATTCTTGGTTTTTCCGGAAAGTTTAAACGTGTTAATTGAAATTGGTTAATACTAATCGTGTTTATTAATGTATTCTTATAATATCGTATTCTAAAAAGAATTTTTGCAAGTAATAAGTTTAATTTATAGTCAAACAGCAGCCATGCTTGAAAGTATTAAATATTTAAGCAGAATTTTTATTAAACATATTTTTTATACCTTTTTTCATTATTTTGTGTTCATTTACGTAAAAATAAGTGCAAAATATTATATTTAGCATTTTAATAATTTATGACTATAATATACAGCATAAACTGCCGCTGTCTTCTTTTGTGTTGAAGGTACGAAGCAATATTTTTTTTGTTAAATTTGCACTTAATGGCAGGTGTCTAGAAATAAAAGAAACAGTTACTCATCAATGAAATTTCTTTAATCTACAAAATAAATTATTGATAAGTTTTTGAATATGAATGGAAAATTTCTAACCCAATTTCTTAGACTTATATTTTAATGCAAATATAGCTCAGATAATCGAACAGATTTTTTTAGTTACCTTTTGACTGTTTTTTTTTATAATTGAAAAAACACCAAAAAAATTTTTGTTTGTATTTAAGAGTGTCAGAAAGAAATATATAAAAGGTACACCGATGTCCCGTCTACGTCAAAGTGTTAATAATACTATTTTTAAGTTACTTGTGGAATGAATATAACGTTTAAAAGAATTTTTTTCTCAAACCTTAATATCAGAAAAAATTTGGGTTTTTACCAAAATCCTGTGGGAAATGAAGTTTCATAAAACTACCATTCTATTCAAATTTTCTTTTATAACTTTAGAAAATGAAAATCTATAAGACCTGTAAAATTGATGAAGTCTATTTTTCAAGCCTTTCACATTTTAAACGGAAAAAAACTTTCACATCATGTTACTAATATTACCATCAGTGGCATTTTGCTCATCGTCAGTGGTACTGAGGTAATCTTCAGTGTCTGTACAATTAATGTCAATGTCGGTCAAATCTCCAGCAAATTCAATTAATTGATCACTATTTACGCTAGAATCATTTTTGCATTCATCATCATCGTCATTAACATCCCATGNGAAATGGTGAAAATCATCACGTGAAATTAACGTAATTTTAACGTAAGCCCAAAACCTTATAACGGACGAACGGATTTTTAACGTTTATTTGCCCTTTCATGCTGCATGGGATCATCATCATCACCTACTGAGTCGTTCAATATCTCCATAAATTCTCTGTCATCGCCAGAACTGCTATCACTATCTGAAGTACTGTTACACGCTTTGAAATTATCAAGTAGATGAAGGAAAAACTTCTTTTTGTTAGCAGGAGAATAACCATATCCATCCTCAGAAAATTCATCATCTTCAAGATCTCGCTTTAAAGAGTCGACTGATTTTCTTGAAAGCGGTGAAAACCATTTCAAAATGTTTTTCACGTTGTTCCAGTTAGGATATTTTCGGTCCATTTCATAAAAAATAATTCTACTTCCTTCCTCGGACAGGAACAATTCATTCTTAAATTCTTTGATTTCCTTGGAAGAATCCAAGCACCAGTGTAAAAGATGCATAGCAAATTCGAAGTAATAACGATCTACTAAACTTGCTATTTGTTCCAGACATAATTTTTTAAAATTTGCAACTATCTCCGTAGAAAATGAGCTGTATTTTAAAAACTCCTCAAAAAAATCCCATCCGTTTTCTCCCAAATGACCTAATCCTTGTAATAATTGTATACATGCAGTAGAATTACGTACGTATGATTGTTTAAAACTATTACTTTCATCTACACTTTCAAAACACCAATTCATAAATCGGTCAATAAGTCCAAAATCACCCAAGCATATTAATGATGTGTATATTGAAAACTTATTAAGTCCATTTTTTTTAAAGCTCTCAATCTCTTCAGGAATTTCAATAACCCACTTTAACATTTTGTCTACTGCTTGAAAATTCTTGCCAAGAATCCATTTATGGTACAGTCCATCTCCATATTTCTGTTCCAAACTTTCTCTGAAACGTTTGATATCACAATCAGATGGAAGAGTATTTTTTGCCAAGGAATCAAGCAGAGTAAATTTACTTAGATATAAAAGCTTCCGCAGCTCTTCACTTCCGATTAAGTTAAATATTACTTCCTTTTTATCATTGGCTGAGAAACTAGTTAGTACTAAATTGATTGTTTCCAAGTCTTCAACAGAAAGCAAGTTACGAATGGCGTGACATCCATTTACAATGACTGGCAGACATGCGTTTTTAAGTCTTACTGGACTTCTACGCCAAATTTTCCTAAACAATTCCACAGTGTTTCTCCCTTCTTTGATTTCTCTAACAATGTATGTCATCGTTTTAGTATATGTGTCCTCTTCAAGATAGTCGAACATTAAATTGATTGTTGATATGAAGAAGCGTTGATATGGCCAATCGAAAAATAAAGCTTTCAGTATTGTTTCAGAATGAGTTTGAAAAACCTGGTTTTGATCCTTTAAATGAGATAGCAAAAAACATAAAATATTAGTAAATACGTGATAGTTTTGGTATTCATATTTTCTACTTAATACTCTATTATATTTCTGTATAATTTGTTCTATCCAATTTTCCATATTAGCTTCTTTCTGTTCTGCAGTCAATTTGTGCCAAAAATATCGGAGACTAAATTCATTACAAACAAAAATTGATAACGTAACCATGTTGTGATGAATGCTTAAATTACAGTCATAGATATTACGATGATCAGTCTTCTTAATCTTACTTAATAGACTAGGTAATTCATCATTTATATAAGCAGTCCAATAATCTATCATATCATAACCATAATGGTTGTATAAAGTTGCTCTTTCGCTTGAAATATATGTAATTTTTTTATCGAGTGGTATATTTTCCCATAAAGAAAAAACATATTCCTCTAAACAGTATTTACACGCTAACTCATACAATTGACAAATACTGTTTTCTTGGTTTTCATTTTTGATCAGTTCTACAAGTGATCTACGTTTATCGATGATGCCTTCAGCTGTCCAATAAACTGTGCAATGCTTTTCAGAAAGATCTTTAACTTTGCAATATTCATCGTCTTTCGAATCGAAACATTTCAGCAACTGCAATCCAATGGGTCTGATAACATCAGATACTTTGATTTTTAGTAGATCAGGCAAGCAAAGATCTGCTAATTTCTCAGTTACTCTTTCTTCCAATTTATGATAAGCTTCTCTCGGATCGGTGCATATAATTTCAGATCCATAGCGCATAGAGTGCTGCTTTACGTCCTCACTTATATCGGGTTCAGTCCACAGTCTTATTGATATTGACGTAAGAGTTATACTTTCTAAAGAAGGTGGTTGTGATATATAGTCTATATAACATACGTTTTTTGAAGACTCTATTTTCACTTTCTTACATTGTACCTTACAGGATATCTCTCCACTTCGTTTATGTCCTGAAAGATATAAGTTCTACATTTAGTTTAGGGAAGAAATAACTCAGCAAGTTAGAATTTGGAAAAAATAGGCTTTACTCGAATTTTAAGTTTTAATTTGAACCATTTATGCGGTATTATTGTGTTCATCCACTAAGCAACCTTTAAGAAAATTTACAAAAAAGAAAAATTCACATTTTCCTGCAGAAATACAATTATTTTTTCTCTAGAATGGAACTTATTATTGTTTCAGGTATACAGGTAGTATATAACGAGCAAGTGGCTGTTTCATATAATTCATTTTATTTTATAACTGGCGTTGAATATCCGACACAATTCCGAGTTTACGACTATCAATGTTCAACTCCGAGGCCATGTAATTTTGATCCCTATCCAGAAGACAAAGGAACTCCTGACTTAAGTATTGTGACAAACTAGCCTTCGTGGTGGACTTTTCGATGGAACTAACCAGCATTTGCGTAACATGAAGAGGAAAAGAACCTAAACCTCCAGGGTTAACCTGACGGTGAGAAAATTATAACCCATGATCCGTCTACCAATGAGGATAATTTATGTCATCACTGTGGTCGGTGCGAGCCGGAAGCAGAATCCGTATCAACAAGTCACCTCTGAGATTCAAACCTGGGCCATCTCATTGGGAGGTTAACGATCCATCCCCTGAGCTACCGCCGCTCCATATAATCCCTTTAATGAGGCACAGAAGTATCGTTTAGGTATTTTTAATTTACAATTAAAGGTATATATCCCATTGTGAGGATAATTAAACAATGCTAAACTCATTAAAAACAATTTCTATTGGGACTAGTTGTGCTAGCACGCTTTGACTTATGCATCCGTTTTGAAACTGATGACAATGCAATGTTATTAAAAGCTTATTAAAACCTTTTTGAGGTTAACTAATATTTTTAAATACCACTAATCGTTTACTCTGAAACTATAGCTACTGGATCGATTCGTTACGACTCGGTCTGTGACAATGTGCTCTATTCTAAGCACGTTGCCCTCATCATAAGCCATGTAAAACAACCTTCAATAAAACAACTTCAAATCGAGATTGGCATACGGTTTTCATGCTTGAGAAAAGTCATTGCATGAAGCTTGTCGTAAGGTAAAAAATGCCTTATATCTAGATTAGTATAAGGTTTATTTTTTAAACGCAAGTTTGCTCTGCTTAATTCAATCTTGTGAGGAAGTTTTCGTCGACAATGTAATTGCAAATACTTACGAGCTAATAAACTCGCTTACGAGGAAAAACTAACAAATCCTTTTTGTCACACCCGAAACTACATTTCGATCCTGTTTTAAATTTTCTTAATATCATACACTGTGGTGACATAAGTCATGGGAGAGCAATATGCAAATATACATATGACAGAAGTATCGCGTGTAAAATATATATATAGGTAATGCTCTGCCTGAAATTATATTTGTTTTCAAGTTATCTGAGAATGTTTCTGATGTAAATATGACGGCAAGACAAAAATTAACAAACTATGAACGTGGAATAGTAGTTGAAGATAGAAGCATGGGACATTCCATTTCGGAAATTGTGACAAAATTCAGCACTCTTAGATCTGTAGTTTCAAGAATACCTTATTTCGGGCATGACTTACCACCATCGACAACGTGGTGACTCCCCACCATCGACCACCTGCACTTAATAACCGAATACGTCGATATGTGCGTAGAACCCTTGATGCTAACAGAAAAGTGACATTGTGTGAAATAACGGCAAGCATCAATGAGGGACGTGTCTGTTAGAACAGTACGACGAAATTCGGCTGTAAGGGGATATGGCAGTAAAAGACTGATTCGAGTGCTTCTACTACACGAGGGTGTTCTAACTGAAACTTTATCATTCGATTAAGAATGATGATTAAAAAATACCTTTATATCATAGACATTAAAATATCAGAAAAGAAGAAACAAACAAAAATTCATACCTATATTTTCCATTTTTCTGTTGTATTCTTGATGTTTCTTTTTGCTTAGCATTTAATTGTACAATATTTAAAATTAAGTTCAAGTACACAAACCTAAAAATTATAAGTAAATTTTAATAAAAAAACATTTTTTGCTTGTTTTATCATGCATATTTCGTTTAATTAAAAGAGTTGAAAGTATTTTTAGCGTCATTTATTATTTTGATGAGCTTTGTTTCCAACTTTTATTAGATCTTAGAACCCATCGAACACAATTAAAATAACACAACTTTGAGCTTGGTCATATGACATTATCCTTGGACTGTCCTGCCATTTTCATTTTGCTAACATCCTCACGGATTACACAATTATGGATGGTTAACTGATTTTAAATAATAATAAGATTCTAAAATCAGAGCGGAATCTTAGAAATTTCCTATCTGCTAAATATTCTAGGAAGTTTTATTATAGAAATTATATATTAATTTACACATATTTTTACACCAATCATAAGGTTATTTTGAATTTTATAAACTATATTTTCCGTGTATATAGCACAAGTCATAGAGTAAAAAGTACAAGTACGAGACCAGATGGGGTGGTTTTAAGTTTTGACACAAAAATAAATCACAAGTATTAACCTGAAAAACTTATTACGAATTTTAACCACTAACCTAGATTATGCGCTGTCGTTGACATTTAGTACTGCTTAATCGATTTCTCTTTCTGTGCCATTAAAGTACGCTAAAATCATTTATACCCTCTAGATAAAATAATATTAAAAAATTATTTAACTGACAGTAAAAAAAGAAATTTTTAAAGTTAAAAACGCTACATAAAAAACACTGAAGTGAAATATTATTTTTCATTCTGCATAGTAAAATTATTTACAACGAAAAATGGGAAAATTCATAGAATAAAAATATAATCACATTTAGAATATGCAAAAAAAAATTTTTTTTTATGCATTTTGTCCATATATGGCAGTACTTTTACTTTCGTTACTTGTACCGCCGGTACAAGTAAAAAGTACGTACTTTTACTTGTACTTCGTTACTTTTTAAATTTAGTACTTTTACTTGTACTTTCGTTACNTAAAGGGTATTTTTTTTTCTTTATTTTTTATTATCAAAGAAGTTTTCTCGCTAATTTTTGTCGCCAAATTCTTTTTTACCTCTCAGTTTTATGAATTTCTTGGGAAAGTGGTATTAGACATTTATTTTCCAAAATAAGTTTAGTTGTATATTATTCAACACTTTAACTTTTCCAAAATTAACAGTTTGAGTTATCCGAAATATTCGTCGAATGCTTTAAAAAAGGCTGATGTTTTCAAAGTACGGATTAGGTGGTGTTCTATTCTCATCATAAATTAAGTATAATTTCTCGATATTGCGTTTCGAAATGTAAACCAATAAAAACTCGATTTTTTTTTATACATTTACAAAAACATAAAATAATAAAAACGTATTTAAAATGGTAGAGAAGTATAAAAAAGGTTTAGTTTTTTGCCACTTTTTAATAATTTTATCAACCAAAATTTAAATCACAGATAGTTAGATTCAGGGCTGAATTTACTAACAACTAAAAGGTTCTTTTTTTAAATACAGATATCCAAGTTAGAGGCTCAACTAGATCAGTGTTCCACTATCATTCAATATTCACTTCCACTAATCCTAATTAGACGATTCGTATTCTTATCCTAACAGGAACGTATTCCTATTGGTTGCATCTGTAACTGATTGATCATTAATGAATTTCCAGTAAATGAAGTGATGTCATCTTAGATATATTTATTATTTGATTTACTGAGATCTAACTGATACCCTATCCACGAAATATAGGAAGCCGCTTTAACAACGAACGTGTTGACAAAACGAAGGTGCTTCGGCTGCCATGTAAAACTTAAAATGTGAAAGACAACTTATGAATTTTGAAATTGATTTATTTAATTATTCGTGTGAAAATGAAGTAAGTTATTGAGTTCACATAAAAGCATTTGAAGTGAATTTAAAGTAAATAGTAAGGTTTTTAGGGTTCTGTCAGACAATATGCAGGCAAAAATTGAGAGTTGCATTTCGATTGACTCGAATCCCTTCATCAACAACAAAAATTGACACGGTACTAGACTATATTCATAATCTTGGGAGATGCGACATTCTTTTTGCCATTGACTTTTTCGAATGATGATATTGACAAAAACATTTACATATCTTCTGTTATCATGTTCATCTGAGACAGTGTGGGCCATGAATAGAAAACATTCGAGAATTATGTTCTGTCAGTAAAATCTATAATGATGAGAGTTGTTCTCTCATGAGCTGATCCATCTTAGAGAGACTAAACATATTAGATGGTGTGATGGAGGGAATCCCCTTTTACACGCGAAAAAGGATGAAGAATTATGACGTGCGGCATTCTGATTGTCCACAAAATGTTATGACATCCTATTTGGCCGTGTGACAAGAAATGAAATCTTAAAGAATGACAAACAGTATTGAAGAAGAATAAACCCCAGGGTTTTATTTATTTATATTATAATACAATACATTCAAATTTACAATACAACACAATACTTTCAATACTATGCGAAATTTACATTATATATGCGTTTCCTTTGTTTTTTTTATTGATCCAAGGGTTTTCCTGGATTAAATGGATACTGTCTTTTCCAACAGGGTATCACAACTGTACGTAAATCCAAAGAGTCCGAAAAATTGTATAAAAAGTCTCGGATGTTATCAAATTCTTGATCCACCTTTGGTGCAATGAGATAAAAATCCACATTGAAAAACACGTCTTGGGGCTTTTTAGATTCAACAAACACTTGAGGCATATCCAATACTTTTGATTCAATTAACACTTGAGGCTTATCCAACTCTTCTGATTCATCTAACGTTTGAGGCATATCCAACATTTCTGTTTCATCACAATGCACTTGGGCTCCATCCAACATTCCCTTGAGTTCCTCATTCCCTTGAGATTCGTCATTCTCATGAGGCATATCCAACACTTGGGTACGGGATACTTGTGGAACTTTAAACTCTTCAG